CTACTTTCAAATAAATCAAGTGAAAGAATATCCACATTACATGTTATGTTCATCTTTCTTAATTTGAAAGCCAGTTAATGTGCATGAATCTGCGGATGCTGGAGTATTTTAGACTTGCGCAAGAAATTAAATTTTACATTAAAGGAACACTATAGTGTCACGAATAAAAACATGTATTCCTGACACTATAGGTCTAAAAAGCTGTTTAGGCCTCTGCTACCCCTTACCTCCAGTTTACTCACCTATTCAGCGCTACGCGTGTCTGGTTGCAGCTGGCCCCTCCCACACTCTGGCCTCCTGGCTGAGCTCATCAAACAACTATCTCAGCCAATGCAATGCTTTCCAATATGAAAGCATTGGGAGGCTATCGTGCACCGCTGTGCGCCAATCAGAACCTCCTCATAGAAATGCATTGACTTAATGCATCTCTATAAGGGTAAGTTCAGCACTTCCATGCAGAGCGTGGAAACGTTGAATGTCAGTGCTGCACCCAGGAAGCACCTCTAGTGGCCGTCTGAGTGACTGCCACAGGAGGTGTCCCTAGGCAGTGTTTAAATTAAAAAGCCTGCAGGGACGGACTATACTAAACATTAGGCTGTAGTTTTCTAGTGACTATATTGTCCATTTAAGGGATCAATCAGCATCATGCTGTGCTTGGCTGGAGTGAGGTCAGGTAAACACGTATTTTAAGGGCAGTCAAGTATAATTACATATAGCACAGGATGTGTGAAGTCAATGTTATGAAAAACAGTTTCTCTTTAAAAAAAAAAAAAAAATAACCCGTGCAAAAACATAGCAAATGCATCAAGATTATTTAATAGTAATCCATTTGAAAAGTGGAAAAACAAAATACGTCATATGCTCTAGTTCGGGATTTCTAGTGGGAGCAGGAACATGTGTTGTTTTCATGTAGAAAAATTATGTGGGAGCCAACCTGCAGGATACATTCGTAATGGAGGAGGTGGCATAATATGGCTGGCTGACAATACCAGTGCGTCTATGCCACTGCTAGCACGTTATCTGTCATGACACGTGACTTGCATGACTGTGTACAAACATTATCTGAAAATTACAAAAGTCCAAATTACCGTCATGTGAAAGATCCTATGGGAGAGATTTGGGAACTAAATAAATTAAACATTTTTATATGCTGCAGAAAAGACAGACACACAATGTCAATGATTTCTTTATGTGCATTTCAGTTTCCAGTCAAGATACCCTGATTAAAGGAGGTCAGCAGAAGCAGGGCATTAAGAGGCCATCCTCCAAAACATCAAACTTGCTCAAAACTCGCCCCTGCTAGTAGCATTCTATGACTTATAATAGTGAATTACATAATGGCTAGTAGCATAGGACTTCAAATTATATGTAAACAGATACACATACTATCTGTTGTAGCATGCTGATTAGTAGCTTGGTAGGATACCCCATTTATATGAGATGTTATGATTCCGGAGAGTTTTATTAATGTTGATAAATTCATGGCATCTCGCCAATATATAAATCACCTAAAGGTCACTTGTACCCCTTTCAAGATGGCTGCTGTGATGGATGTGAGCACATCTAACATGGCAGCCATTTTTGTAGTCATCAGTTACAGAGGGAACTAGTGCAGGCATGCAGGATTTTAGCTCACTGACAGTGTAAAAAGTGTATATTTAAAGGGACACTATAGCCACCAAAACAACTTTAGCTTAATGAAGAAGTTCTAATGTATAGATCATGCCCCTGCAATCTCACTGCTGAATTCTCTGCCATTTAGTTAAATTACTTTGTTTATGCAGCCCTTGTCACACCTCCCTGCATGTGACTTACACAGCCTCCCTAAACACTTCCTGTAAAGTCATTTAATGTTTACACTTTCTGTACTGAAATTACGGTTTAATTCAGAATGTCTTATCTCCTGCTCTGTTAATAGCTTGCCAGACATTGCAGGAGCCTCCTGTATGTAATTAAAGTTAAATTTAAAGAGCAGGAGATAAAAACGTTTAAAGTAAGTTACATGTGATTGAAAAGGAAACCATTTTTTTTTCAGGCAGGCTGTGTCATTCACAGCCAGAGGAGGTGTGACTAGGGCTGAATAGATAGAAATAAATGTGATTTAACTGCCAAGTGGCAGAGAATTGAACAGTGATACTGCAGGGGTATGATCTATACACTAAAACAGCAACATTAAGCTAAAGTTGTTTTGGTGACTATAGTGTACCTTTAATGCTAAAAAGAAAAAAAACAAAACCTTTATATGGTGATTTACTAAAGAATTTACACTTGTTTTGGGGCAATTCATTTTTTTTTCATTTAAGTCTGCATTCATTATATTTACTTATGGAATTTATATAAAAGAAATCTGCACTAAATATGAGATGAAATGGTCTGACTTAAATTATGACCAAATAGCGTTAAATTATTCCGTTTTGAACAAACCTCTCTTCCAGTTTTCTAAAACTTATCCTTTCTAAAAACTGAACTACTCATCTTTCTCACTCAAATAGTCCTTCTCTATCTATCTGTATGTAAATGGGACACAAATTATCCCAATTGCTCATATTCACATTTTCTAACTCAAGATACAACTAAGGCACTTATTCATGCACTCATCATAACCCGACTTGACTATTGCTACTCATTCATCATTTTTTTTTTAAATTACCTGCATTGCCCTCTTCAGACTAATACATGATGTTGCCAGGCTCATCTACCTGACTGACTGCTACTCCCATCCCTTTGCTTCAGGATCCAATTCAAACTGCAACCACTATTATTATTATCGCCATTTATATAGCGCCAACAGATTCCGTAGCGCTTTACAATATTATTAAAGGGGGGATTTAACTATAAATAGGACAATTACAAGAAAACTTACAGAAACTATAGGTTGAAGAGGACCAAGCTCAAACGAGATTACAGTCTATAGGAGTCGGGGTATAAAACACATTAGGACAGGAATTAGCAATCAAATTAGGTGGGAGTGAAGCTGAGCTGGAGGAGAGAGTAAAGTGCTGCCCTTTAGGAGAGAGCATGAGACAGGTATGTGAGGTAGAGGTTACTCTGGTTGGCCATAGGCTTTCCTAAAGAAATGGTTTTTAAGGCACTTCTTAAATGATTGAAGACTAGGGGAGAGTCTGATGGAGGTACGCAGGCTATTCCATAGGAAGGGAGCTGCCTGCGAGAAGCCCTGCAAGCACGAGTTGGCCATATGGTTGCGAGCAACGGGCAAAAGAAGGTCTCGGGTACAGCGGAGAGACCGAGAAGGGGCATACCTATGATATAAGAGGGGCTAAGATTATTCAGTGCTTTATAAGTATGGGTTAGCACTTTGAATTGATTCCTATAGGATACAGGAAGCCAATGTAAGGACTGGGGAGAGAGAGGGGAGAGGTGTGAGAGGACCGACTAGAGATGAAAATCAGTCTGGCGGCAGCATTCATTACAGACTGTAGCAGGGCAATACGGCTATTGGAAAGACCAATTAGGAGAGATTTACAATAGTCCATGCAAGAGATTACTAGAGCATGGACATGCTCTTCAGTAGCATCTTGTGTAAGAAAGGGGCGGATGCGGACGATGTTTATAAGGTGGAATTGGCATTATTTGACAACAGACCGGATGTGAGGCTCAAAGGTGAGGCCAGAATCAAAAGTAACACCAAGACAATGTGCTTGTAAGGATGGGCTGATATGGGTACCACCAATCTGAAAGGAGAGCAAGAGAGGAGGATTAAGATTAGGAGGAGGAAAGACAATAAATTCTGTTTTGGAAAGATTCAGTTTCAGAAAGCAGGAGGACATCCAACCAGAGATAGAAGAAAGGCAAGAGGTGATACGTTGCAGGACATCAGGGGAGAGGTCCGGGAGGAGAGATATATCTGGGTGTCATCAGAGTACAGGTGGTACACCAACCTACAAAGCCCTCACTAACTGCACTCTTCACTACATTTCTTCTATACTCAACAAATACACCCCTCTGAACATCGTTCTCCTGACATCTGCTTTTTCCTGCATTGCCATATGCAGGATTTCCTAAGGGCTGCCCAGTTTCTGCCTGAAATGCTGCACCTACAGGAATATCAGTAATTATGTGCCCAGGTCTAGTTACATGGAACTGTTCCAAGCTTCCTAATGTTAATTCTGTGCAAAAAATAAGTGTTATTAGCATGCTAGATGTGCTGGTGAAATACGTAATTGGCTTTTACCCTTCAAGGCAGTGCACTTGCAAGGGGAAGACTAGATCTCTCCTTCCTCCTTCCTAAATTCCTTATCATTTGTCTGTTTATTTTCTTCTTCTCTCTCCCACACTCTTTCCCCTCTAGCTCAGAACGCATGCATGCACTCTAAGTTATTGAGAATGGTCCAACCAAATACTTCTTTATGAGAAACATTTGACTAACTCGAAGAAGAGTGTGATGCTGCGTGACTACAAATGGGGCATGGAAACGCTCAAGCGCCCAGCCCAGCGTTGGATTCATGGTAATTTCTATTTGTACACACATACTCTACAATTTTACTACATAACTATGAGGGATGCTTATTCTGAACAGATTTAAAAAAAAAAAAGATCCTCTAACATTCCAATAGAGCATGATTATCACATGATTGCAAACCAAAAGATGGCCTGACACATTCTGAAGCAATTGTAATAATTTTTTTTTTGCTTACAAGAGAGCCTCAAAGGGACATTATAGGCACCTCTTTCTCATTGAAATGGCCTAGACGCACTGTTCCTGTTCTCTTAACCCTGTTTACATTACAGGGTTAATAGACTGTCTCTAAAGGCTGTCTACAAGATGCTGGACATCCTCACACTTTGCATGAGGACATCCATGGTCTTCAAATCCAACATAGGAAAGTATTGTGCATTAGGTCCTTCCTTGGAGAAGGAAATTAAGTTAGTGTCAAGGGACCACAATGCTGGAATAAGGTGAATGTTTTTAACACTTTATTTTGAATTTAAAAATACAGTTTCGTATTCCCAACACTATAGATGCATTGCAAATGATAGGCATACTTCACCAAAACAAAGATAAAAACTTAAACAAGGACTGATTACATAAGACATGTCTTAATAGATACTTCTGACTTACTGGAAGCTAAAATACATAAATACAATTATATATTAATTTTTAAAGAAACATTCTATGTATACACAAGTATCACGCACAAAGTAATATAACATATCTGATTAGTCATGCAAGATACAAGGTGACTATTTTTTATTTATTTTTGTAAATTGTCATATAACACAGTATTCACCATAAGAAGTGGTCAAGCATGCATACTATTATTCGAATTTTTTTATTTTCTAAAATGTAGTTGCCATCTGTCGTACAACTTCCACGATGCTATGCTGCGTGGGGATCGACCATATACAGGGGTGTGTTTGTATGTACTGTTGCCTTTGGAATGCAGTGGTGTACTTCTATGTAATGTTTGCGTTTGAACGCAGGAAAGTGTGTGTAGGTAGTGTTGGCTTTTAAATGCAGGTGTACTTTTCAGTGTAGTATTGGAGTTTTAATGAAAAATTGTGTTTGTATATAATTTTGGCGTTTGATTTCAAGGATGTATTTGCATGTATGCACATACACTGACACATATATACTTACATAGATGCACAAACTAACAGATACACACACCAACACAAACAGATACACAGATTTACACACGTCATAATTGTTATATTTTTAGCCACCCTCCTGTTCAACATACCTTATGTGCAGGAGGGTGGCTTACTTGGGGTCCTGCTGCTGGCTGATAGGGACTGTGTAACTGTAGTTGAGTCTCTCGTTTCTCTCCTACCTGCTGTCTGTGCCTCCCTGTGCAGCACTCTAAGTGTAGCTGGGAGTAAGTGACCTACTTTCACTTCCTCCCAGAGCTGCTGAAAATACAGGGCCCCTGTTCAGCAATACCCATAGGGTTGCGCCAAATGCATGGTTCACCTAATGGGTTTACGAAAGCATGCAGGACTCGTTGCACCGGTAATAGATCCGCCACTGCTATGTGTAGCTGTTTACAAAAAAAAAACCTTATACTATTTGAACTTGGCACCCGGGCCACCGCAGGTCCTAACCCACACAACTACAAGCAACAAAACAGCCAAATTGGAGAAAAATAAAATGGACAAACAGTGGGAGAAGGGGGGCACACAGGTTCAGACCCCACAACTGCCCAAGCACCAATCTATAACAGTATGAAGATTTTTTGATATTAACAATTCCTGACAGCCCAATTGGGTGGCTATGAATATTAGGATCTCTAGTTAGTGACTCAGATGGGCATTATATTTATTAACATTATAAAGACACAGCTGTATGAGAAGACAAAGCCACAAGGCTATAGTATATTTGTAAAGCAGCGAAACCCCGCCGAACACCAGGAACCATAGCACAGAATATGTGTAGATTTGGAGTGTGTTGGTTTTGTGCAATGTGTGTGTTCCATTCTGCCCCATTTCTGCTTAGCTTTCTGCATGGGTAGGGGCAAAGAAGAGCGAGCGAGCACGAACACACACCCCAAAGACAGCCAGCACACACCACAGCTAGCAAGCATACATATTACAAACAGTCAGCACACTTCCACACACACATTACAAACAACAAGAACACAAAACCTCCCCAAACAGTACTGACAGCCAGCACACAATATCCACGCACAGAACAGACAGGTGTCACAAACACACATTAGCAAGAACTGGCAACCATTTATATGAAAAAAAAAAAAATACAGATACATAAACGCAGCATGATGATGGCACTATAATGAGGTTCTGCTACAGACCACCTAATGTTAGGTCAGTCCACTCAACACAGTGTAAACATTGCAGAAACAACTGGAAAAGGTGGCAGTGCGCACATCACCACCAATGTCTACTAGAGGTCAGGGTTCGGATGAGAGATCTCTGCAAGTCCCCCCCCCCCCATTAAAATGGCAAATAACCAACACTGAACAGGGTCACTAAAGTAGGTAAACTCTATATAAAATAAATACAATTTAATTATTTTTAACTCAGGAAAAATATCCTAATGCTGAAATCCAATCCACTCACAGGTATCCAGTTGCTTTTGATGTGCATGTTTCTGTTCAACAATGGGGCAGATCAGTTGCATCTACCGTAACATTGGCAGCAGACATAAAAGGAGAGGACAGGATATATAGAATAAACAAAATTTAACCACACACACACACAATGGGATCCCCTTTAAGTTCATATGTAAATTGGAAAATGCAACTCGGCTATTGTTCCTGTACAGCAAGTGTGGTCTAAAAATGCCATATCCCCTATTAATTCTCCTTACAGTTCCTGATATACTGAATACATGTGTTGTTTATATATTTCATAACATAAGTTTCCAAACAGCCCTTTGCCTATTTTGAGCAGTAATTCTGTAAAAGCAATGACCACTGTTAATTTTTGGAACAAGCAGCTACTGTTAACTATGCTGGTAAATCAGGATTTGTGATTTAATCAAACAAGTACCGCAATAGCCACCACCTATTCCAGACAACAGTCAATGTGAAATTTAGCATCCAGCACACTTTTATTTTATTTTTTTAACAGTATACATCTACTTAAAATATTGTACTGTCCTAAAAAGACTAAACAAGCTTGATAATGGTGGTCAGAAATGACTAGGTTTCCATTATAAAACATTGACCATGAATCATGAAACAGCAGATTTAAAAAAAAAAAACATTTTTTTTTTAACTTTTCCCTTTCGGCCAGAAAACACTGAAATTTTGGGGAGTCCTTTCCTTTCACTGTTACTCCTGAGCCTGGTTTCCTATTTCATTCAATAGATGGGACCTTCTTATGGTTCCCTGTATCGATTCTATGTAGAAACAAGTCTCATTGCAGGCAGCATATAGTATCTATCAGCAACTGACAAAGCCTGCCTTCTGCAAAAACAAAACATTAAATATTAAAGCTCTTTGATTCAGGATGTATGGCAAGTATCTTATAGGGACACACTAAGCATCAGAGCCACTATGGCTTAAATGTAGAGGTTCTGCTAAGAGTCTGTCCATGCAGTCTGACAATTGTAAACACTGCTTGTTCTGAGTACTGAGCCAATACCGCACTATGAGAAGCTGACTGGCGCAGCTTGGCAAATGCCACGCAGTAAGCTCTAGAACCCCAATGCTTCCCTTTGGGGAAGCACTGGCTTGGCCATGATCATCAATAAAAAAGGAAAACACTAAATTATCTATTCAAACAATATTTCTAACGTTACAATGTTCATTGTGATTGCCCTTCATTGCTACTCTAAGTGTGTCAAAGTGTGCCTAAGTGTTAATATTTAATTTCAAGAAAAAAAAAAAAAAGTTTAGTGGTCCTTTAATCTTTGTGCGGTGTGTTTATTTTGCCGTTACATTATTTGTTGCAACTGTATTTTTATTGGAGCCTTCAAATTGACTGATTTGTCATCATGTTAATTAAAGTCTTTTGTAATAATGTCAGGTAGAGGAGATGGAAGTGAACATGCCGATTACGTGCACATACCAGCCACACATCCCACACAAGCACTGAACCTAAGCTACAATCACCTCCCACAGACAGATGCTTTGGTAACCTTTTGCTTCAGATCTGCAGCTACAGTTTTCATTTTCCAAAATAATGAACAGTGCAGAGAGTGTATCAATTTAGAACACAAGTGCACTTTAAAGTGGCTAAAAATAATTCATGGTCTGTTTTTAATATACAAAGTTCTTTATTTAGACTTGCTCTTTGCACTAATCGTGAAATGGTATGCTAAAAAACATTTTCTATGGCAAAAAGAAGAAGATTTACCGTAGATGTCTGAAAATAAATATTGGTCCCCTATTCTGAAGCTAAGATATATATATATATACACACACACAAATACTCTCTTAAACACAATAATGTATGAAGAGAAAAACTACTTAATTAAGTAGACAGCTTCCCAAGATCACTTCCCTGATGGTGACCTCTTACAAATGATATGATACAAATATTAGGGATACAGCTGGAAATCTATGGCAATAGATATAAACAGAACATAGTGCAAAACTATAAAGGAATTGAAAAGCAGTGCCCCTGCCACACTAATGCACTCACACACTACAAATGGTAAAAGCGCCTTGCATATAAATCTGCACTCTCCAGGAACCACAAGCCCTCCAGGGTATACGAAATCAGGAATTCGATGGGTAGGTATATACGAAATTTATTTCATGAAAATGAATAAAAATAGTAAAAACTCACAGTTTTCTATTTTTATTCATTTTCATGAAATACATTTTGTTTAGCAATATCAAGTTCACACATAATTCAACATCATTCATTTGAGTGGGAAGCTGATGTGCCTGGCTAATTGGGGTAAAACGGATATTGGTAGCATGGAAGTGGAATTTACACCTAAAAATGGGGAACGGTGTCAGCAGCCTAATGGAACCATCATGACTACATTGGCATGTAGTGGTTATATTACCTAAAATGCTGCTTTAAAAATTGAGTAAACAATGTTGCAATGATTTATAACACCATTAATCTTTATTGTAAAAAGTTATCATAAAATGCAACAATATTACAGAAAACAAGGGTTGAGAAAAATATATGCAGTTATATTCACTATGTAATGAATAGCAAGACAATGTATCTCTTCACTATCTACACAACATTTACAATACATACATTATCAAGTAACTCTAGGACAGAAAATTCAGGGGTAGTTAGGTGTGAGCAACTGACGGTCAGTGGTATTAGGGAACTATAATTTAACGTTACTCTGGCACAGGTCACCCTAACTGTACCCCCTCACATTCTTCCTGCACCCTACTGATGACAAGGTGTCTAAATCTCCGTGTAGAAGGACTACAAGGAAGCATGGCAAAGGGTGACGTGCACGGTAGCAGGCACCATTCGGACTTCAGCTGAGTGTGCTCAAGAGCCTTTAATGTCTGGGTGGATGACCTACTAACTCAAGGCATTTGTTAACTAAATATTCCAAAATCTATGTTATGCAATTATGATTTGTAAACAAACATAAGGAGTATTATGATAAATATGCCAAAGAAAGGTATTTTATTGTTACTCGTGAAAGCACTGTGAGGACAATCACAGAATTTGCAAATAAGTATGTCCATTCATTTGGGTTGCATGACTTCTCCACACACTACCTCACTTAACGAAGTTTTCCCACCACAAGCAACTTCTCGTCTACTGTGATGTTCACGTAGCTCCTACTCTTGCCACAATACTGAATAAGTGATATTACTGCATATGATTGATCACTTTCCTCCTGAAGGAGTGAAGCCCAGAAGTTGTTCTATAGGTGTGTATCTCCATTCATCTGCTTCCAGTTCTTCTACTAATCCAGCCAGCTTCTCCATTCGAGCCACTTGTTGATCTGAAAAGATTAGACCTAAACAAATGTTACTGCAATTATAACAGGTTGCGCCCCAGCCACCCAAAGCCGTTCAAGCAGTTTAGCACAACATGCGCAAGGGCTTGCTATTTTAGTCCTGATACATACTCTTCTACATAATGACCTTATGTCTTTGCCATGAATCATTCTATTGGCTCCTCTTGTTGTTGGCAATAAAGCTCAATTAATTATCAGTAGTAGAAACCTCTGTGTTAAAGATTTTAATCCTGGCAGGAACAACAAAGTTCTTCTTAATACTATTTTTATTAGTTTCAGAGAGATGAAGTTATGAAATAATAACGGTTATAATCCTGAATAAATTTAGTTTGTTGGTTCTAGAAAATAAATACATGTATTTTTGCATGATGTTCCAAGACATGGATGTTTGCACTACATGCTTCTACAAGACGAAGAAAATATGAGGTGTACTTGATAACTCAACTTTACTAAAAGAATCATGTGAACTTTATGCCTTTAATTATGCCCATTCCACACCCTGACAATTTAACGGAACACAAAATAAGCCCTTCTATACTACTACTACAAAAAAAACAAGTTAAAAATAACCCTTACATTTATTCCAGCGCTGGAACAAACTCCTCATTGCAGCCTGATCCTACTAGGGGGATCAACAATTTTGATTGCCCAGTCACAAGATTCCCATCATATTGTGGGCACATAGCCATTATGCCATGACCGGTCAATCCAATATTTTTTTTTTTTTTTTTTTTTTATAGAATAGCACTGGATGCACTACCAGTGTCAGCTGTCAGTATACTTGGCATGCCAACGCCAGACATAAATTAGATTAAAGTATTCCAACCATTAATTTTCACCAAAAATCCCTAAAGTTTTCTTTTATCATGAACAAATCACGGTTCATCAAATCGATCTATATTTGTTTACTCTTAAGTCAGGGCTTGACAAATTTGTTTGGAATATAGCAGCCAGCTAAAAAAGTTAGGAGCCATTTAAATTTTTTTATTTTTTTTTAAAGGGGCACTATAGTCACCAGAACCACTACAGCTTAATGCAGTGGTTCTGGTGCCTATAGCCTGTCCCTGTAGCCTTTTCAATGTAAATGCTGCATTTTCAGAGAAAAGGCAGTATTTACATTGCTGCCTACTAAGACCTCTAGGGGCTGTCACTTAGATGGCCACTAGAGAGTCCTGTGTCAGTGCTCTGCATGGATGCGCTGAATGTTACCCATTCAGAACATACGCAATATCCTCCCAATGCTTTCCTATGTGAAAGCATTGGCTTAGCTGAGATAATTAAGATAGATGAACTCGGCTATGGAGGCGGGACAGGCCACGGCAAAACACACACACACTGACAGGTTTACACACACACACTTTCACAAACACTCACAAATTTACATTTTTTTATTTTATTTTAATCCACCCAGCCTCCCTACTGTTGGGAGTGCTGAGTGGATGTTGCCTGGGGTCCAGTGGGGCTGCTCTCTCTTCCTGTGTGAGAGGAAGCAGTAATCTTCCATGCAGCTCCTCTCTGCTCCCTGTTCTGCTGGGACCGGAATGATATGATATTCCGGCACCATTAAACAGCGCAAGGGAGCAGAGATGGACCTCTGGAAGAACACTGCTCCCTCGCACGCTGCTCCAGCCGACCTCCTTGATACTCCACTGAGCCGGACACCTCCATAAAGCCCAGGGCGGCCGTCTACATGCTCCCGTGGGTGGACGGCCGGCTCCATTATTTGCCCAGCTGGGCGTTTTAGATAAAAAGCTGACAAATTCAAGGTGCCAGGGCAAAATTTTTAGTCGCCATGGCGACCTGGGATTTGCCGAGCCCTGTCGTAAGTGTCAATGTATTCCCCACAGGACTTCTTCAAAGGATATAAACCATTAGGCCTCTCCATGACATTAGTGGAATTGCAATATGGCAAAATGACAGCTTCAGAAGCTTATCTCCAACTTGAAATAATCCATCCTGTGAACCGAGGCTTTATATATTAAAAAAAAAAAAGCACTGAAGTACAGATGGTTTTCCTGTGCAAAGCAAAAAAAATTAAAAAAAATAAAAAATAAAATAAATATATATATATATATATATATATATATATATATTTTTTTTTTTTTTTTTAAAGAGTATGGCAGTGGGCAAATGTTTTGAGCAGCTGCCCTTTGTCAATGCACAACGCTCTTGGCAGAGCCTTGACTTGATGGAAAAGAAAACCAAAACAAATCGTGCTTGATAAAGAGGCTACATGCATAGATAACAACAGCTTTAAATTTACATCCCAAGCACCATAACAACTAAAGCTTGTTCTAGTGCAGGACTCTCAACCGTTCTGATTTTGGTTGGACAGACCCGATTGTAAGGTCCCATTTCAACTTAGTCCCGCATTTTAAGTAGTCAAACTATTTTCAAATGGCTTGACTTCTTACCTGGCATCTGCTGGCCACTGCCCCTGGCCTTCATAACCATTGCCTGAGAGCACCGTCCCTTGAGCTAAGCCCTGAATCCAATGCAGGACTTATCTTATCGGCTGAGGATGATCAGCTGATGCTTTCAGCCTATACTTAGTAATGCTTCAGAGATGGTAGTGGGGTCAGATAGCAGCGTTCAAAAACTATTCTACTCCTTACAAAGGGGGTGGATGGGTGGGCAATCAAATCTCCAGGCTGCAACCTGTGTTAGAATTCTGGGTCCCCATATTTGTTATAAGTTATGCAACAGCAAATCCTGGGTGCAATGGAGGAGGTGGGACTGCAGAAAGTGCTTCCATATATAGAAGCGGTTTTTGAAATCTGCCGCTCTGTTCTTGCAGGGCAAGCACCGAGGTGTAGTGATGTGTACTGGTTGCCCCTGGACAATCTAAATAATGTTACAATTCAACTTTATATAACTAGAAACAGAGGTTCTTGATAGAACTGTATTTCCTAAACCTCCATTTCAGATGATGGAGTACAGTTTACAATATTCAATGCTTCTCCACTAAACACTTAAATGCTGGACACATGACCAAAAATACAATTGCAGATACTAAACTCAATCATCTCCAAAACACACATTTTTACAAAACCCCCAAAATACCTTAAAAAACACACATAACATCCCCATAAAAGTTACATTCCTTGATAGCCCTGATCTGGGTGACCAACATATCCAAAAATCACCCTGATCAGTTCAGGGGTTCAGAAATTTTATGGTAGTCATAGGTTTTACCGACCGCAGGCATTGTCCCATAGTCGAAAATAGTTCCATAGAATCGCGGCTAAGTGCCGCTGGAGGAACGACTGGGAACCGCAAGGTTTTCATGACGAAATTCGTTCAAGGGCATTCGCGGCTAAGTCCCCCTGAAGTCTATTTGCGGTTTAAGACCATGCGAACAAGATGGCCGCCACCACGTGGTCGAAGTGCCCTTCGAATGGCTTCGGGAGTTCGAAGTGCCACTTCGAAAGTTCGAATGGATCCTGTTATAAGTCCCAACAGGCACAAATAGGGATTTAAACCAAGTTTTATCACAGGGGCCACAGTCACAGGGTAAGAGGCTGGCAAATATGCCCCTCCAAGAACCCGTGACGAGGTCCAGTTCATCACATTTGCATTGACAACTTGGCGCATTATCTCAAAACACACCCATCATGTCACTTAGTAGACTTTTTGGTTCAAGGTTACACAGACTGTTTCAATACTGGCCTAATAACACTCCCCACTGGTATTCACGAGTGTCAAAACCTACAGTCCGCTCTACTTGACCCCCTCAACACTGACAATTATTTAAGAAAGAGTTGGACAACGGATTCATCATAGGCCCTTTCTCACATCCACCTTTCTCGTGCTGGCGTACCAACCCTATAGGTATAGCCACACGGAAATCTAACAAAAAAAACCCATCAAATTAGCGATTCATCGGCTCCATATTTATTGCCTACATTCACAGATTCCCTCTGAAGAGTTTTCCTTGCACTACGCAACAGTGGACAATGTTATTCATGCCATACTGAAGGCAGTGGTTGGTGCTTGGTGCTTGGTTGGGGAAAACAGACATTTCCAATGCCTTTAAGCTTTTACCCATCCCATCTGTATGTTTATGTAACCTTTTCACGTAATTATGTGATTTTACTAATTACAATTTCAGGGACATGCCTGACAACCCAGGTGGAAAGTCCAGGGAATTAAATTTGCAAGCCCTATATTTAACCCTGTAACTTTCCTAAACACCATAAATCCTGTACATGTGGGGGGTGGGGACTGTTTTACTCGTCAGATTTCACTAAACACAAATGTGAGTGTTTTGAAATGGTAAAACGATAGTATCATCAGTGAAAGTGCAGTTTTTGTGTAAAAATGCAAAAAAAAACAAATATGAACGCAAACTTTGGCTAGGGTTTGTGATGAATTAGCTACTAAAAAAATAAAAAATAAAGTACATACCCCATTTTGAATAACCTGAGTTGTCTACTTTTTCAAATGGTATATCATGATGGGGGTAATTCTCATTCCTGGGCTGCCATCCGGTCTTAAAGGCAACATAACCAATCTGGCAAATTTCAATATGCAAATACCGGACAGGGGAAAGCCTTACATTCGATGCTGCAACTTTCCAAAACACCATAAAACCTGGACATGGTGGGTACTGTTGTACTCATGAGACATCACTGAACACAAATACATTTATTTTATTTTTGTAAAAGCTAACAGTATTATGACCTTCACGGTTAGAATGCCTGACAGAACTAAGAAAATAAAATGTATTAATTTCTCACACATTTTTAGATCGTATTCATATTAAATTAGATTTCATATCTGAATAGTTAATGTGAAATGAAAGCCCGGCTTCTATTGAACAAAATAAGTGTGGGTGCATATAATATGAAGGGTGATTTAATGTTGAACAGACATTTAGCGCAAATTCAAGATTTTGTTTACATTTTGTTTTGATCAGAATGTGTACAATTGCGTGTAAATATATAAATATACAGAAAGGCCACATAAATCTGAAGAAAAGATGTACAAAATTGCCAACACCCATTCGAAAGAAAGAGGATAAAAAAAATTTAAAAAATTTACAAAAGTGCATACCCTGCGTGTGTTTATAATTTATGTTGCTGCTTTTTTTTGCAATCACATACTGTGGAATGCTGGACCTTTCTTTTTGGATTACTCTGGTGTCACAGATATAACCGAGGAATCCAGTAATAAAGACTCAAGCTCAGGGAGTCTTGAAGAGGTTAGTGTACATGGGAGCAAGAGAGCTGGAGTGATACATAAATTGCAAATTATATAGCTCTTAAGATAAACATACAAGAAGAATGTTATGCCATACTGTTTTGTGCTGTTCTTGATTTGTGCACTAAACTCTATTTGCCCGCTCACCTCAAATCACACTGTCCACTTCAGACACCTCCAATTTTCCACTGGCTTCTATGCTCTTCTCCCTTTCATGTATGTAGTTGGGACACATTGACTTATTGCTATTGAAGCACGCGTACTATTGCCACAGAGACAGTGCTATATTCCGCATTAGCATTCTCTGTTGCCATTGGCTGGAATGTTGATGGCTGTGCTATTCTGTTGTGAGCATTTGCCTATTGGAATTCCATTGGATAGAAGGGTCTTGGTTTACAGTTGCCATGGAAACATGTTTTTGTCCACTGATGGGCAAATACACCTACAGCTGGCATATGCAGTGTTCAAAGGACAATTTTTAACTGAATGAGAAAGGAAATTGAAGCACAATTTCACACAGAAGTAAAGGAAAAAGAGGCATGCAGAGGTAGTATAATGGCTTGTAATGGGGAGTACAGTGCCAGAGAAGAGATTCAAGAAAGATAGCATAGATAAAAGAGAGAGGAAAATAAAAAAATGAATAGAGAGAGGAGGCTGTGAGACAGAACAGATCTAGATGAAAGGAAGTAGACTAGTCAGCAACAGTTGACTGAAAGACAGAGGTATGTAAAGGAATCTTAAAGTTTGCAGCAGGATGGACATCAGAAAAGATTTTACACCCACTGTATATATTTTTAATGACTAGTTATGTGCGCTCAAAACTACAAATAAAAAATTGTTACAGTGTACAAAGACGGATTATATCCTGATTATTTATTATAACCCAAAACACAACAACAACAAAAAGCTTCACGTACACTTTTGGGTACACAATCCTGTGATCCAAAAAAAAATAATGACAGGGCATCCTTTACATATTAAAAGAATGCAAAACCAATGTAATCCCTAAATGATTTTTAGACTTCAGTATTTCTTAGGGATTAACAGAATATAAACTAGTTAAAAGAGAGAGATCATAAAAACATACTTTTGAAGTGCTGGCAATTTGTTTTTTCTCCACAAGTTGCCTTTCAATGAAATTTACATTTTGTGTGTGTCTGTGAAGTGTCAATTTTATCTCATTCTGTTAGATAAATCCAACAAAGTTTTGTGTTGCTACATTTTAGCACATAATATAATGCGTGTGTCTACCCAGATTTGATTAACACAATCTGACATGTAACTGGAGACATTTGTTTTCATTTAAAGGGACACTAAAGGCACCCAGACTACTTCATCTCAATGAAGTGGTCTTGGTAAAGAACCCCATTTAATAATATGGCTGAATGCAAGGCTGAACACACCACTAGCAGTCGTCTTCCTGACAGACACTAGAGGAGCTTCCTCGTGTCAAATGTGCTCACACATCACAGGAGGATGTTGTATATCAAATGGCGCTAAGAGGGATCCATTAGATTCCAGGTTTCCCTATGAGAAGCATTTGACTGGATACGTCCACGGCACTCCCCTCGCAAGCACTTCCTGCCCCAATGCTTTTATGAGTAGCACTGGATTGGATAAGAAGGCAATGAAGTGGTCTGCGTACAGTGTCCCTGTCTCCCTTAGTCCAGCAATGTAAAACATTGCAGTTTTTGAGAAGATGCAATGATTATAATGCAGTACTAAGATTGCCTTGCATGAGGGCATCCAGAGTCAGAGAAATCCCCCATAGGAAAGAAGTGAGGCAATGCTTTCCTATGATGAAGTCCTAATGCGCGTGCATGTGCATCACCCGTCGTGGCTCCTCACATCGTAGGATATCGGAGACGGACTGCAACTCAGCACTGAGGGATATTGGTGCCAGGTCCGTTGCGACAAGGCAAGCAAACCAATCCTGAGCTGGCCTGGATTGGGGAATCCATGTCCATTTTGCTTGGGGCCCCTAAATTCATTCTAACGGCCCTGAATTGTGCTTTAATCGGGTAAGTGAATAAAGGTCTTTTTTAATCCTATATGTGCTAATTGGAGGGGGGAGGGGGAAACGACGACCAGAGGAACCAGCTTTGCCTTCCGAACACTATAGTTTTCCTTTAACAACATACATTCATAAAAGTGCCAATTATCATCAAAATCTGCATTTTGTTTTCTCAATTTACAAAATAGGACATAGTTTTCACACACAATGTTAAGTGTGTCCACAGTCCAGCCACACTACAAAAACAAAAAGGCAGGTGAGCAGGAGGGGAGAGATTAGAAAAGGACGGATACCACAAAAGGGGGGGGATGAGAAAGGGTTGAACAGACTACAAAGGGACCGTGGTGGGAGATAAATGGGAAAAAGACACATGGGGGAAAGACACACACACACACACACACACAGGGTCTGGGAGGGGGAAGGGACACACATAGCCAGAGGGTCTGGGAGGGAGAAGGGACGGACACAAACACACACAGGATCTGGGAGGGGGAAGGGACTCTCACACACACAGGGTCTGGGAGAGGGAAGGGACACACACAAACAGAGGGTCTGGGAGGAGGAAGGGACACACACAAACAGAGGGTCTGGGAGGAGGAAGGGACACACACACACACAGGGTCTGGGAGGGGGATGGGACACACACACACACACACACACAGAGGGTCTGGGAGGGAAGGACACACACACACACACACACAGAGGGTCTGGGAGGAAAGGGACACACACACACACACACACAGAGGGTCTGGGAGGAAAGGGACACACACACACAGAGGGGTCTGGGAGGAAAGGACACTCACACAGAGGTCACAAGGAGGGTCTGGGAGGGGAAAGGGACACTCACACAGAGGGTCTGGGAGGGAAAGGACACCACACACAGGGAGGGGTCTGGGAGGGGAAAGGGACACTCACACAGAGGGTCTGGGAGGGGAAAGGGACACTCACACAGAGGGTCTGGGAGGGGAAAGGGACACCACACAGAGGTCTGGGACACCACACAGAGGGTCTGGGAGGGAAAGGGACACTCACACAGAGGTCTGGGAGGGGAGAAAGGACACTCACACAGAGGGTCTGGGAGGGGAAAGGACACTCACACAGAGGGGTGGGGGAAAGGGACACTCACACAGAGGGTCTGGGAAGGACACTCACACAGAGGGTCTGGGAGGAAAAGGGACACTCCCACAGAGGGTCTGGGAGGGGAAAGGGACACCTCACACAGAGGGTCTGGGAGGGGGAAGGGACACTCACACAGAGGGTCTGGGAGGGGAAAGGGACACTCACACAGAGGGTCTGGGAGGGGAAAGGGACACTCACACAGAGGGTCTGGGAGGGGAAAGGGACAGGGTCTCACACAGAGGGTCTGGGAGGGGAAAGGGACACTCACACAGAGGGTCTGGGAGGGGAAAGGGACACTCACACAGAGGGTCTGGGAGGGGAAAGGGACACTCACACAGAGGGTCTGGGAGGGGAAAGGGACACTCACACAGAGGGTCTGGGAGGGGAAAGGGACACTCACACAGAGGGTCTGGGAGGGGAAAGGGACACTCACACAGAGGGTCTGGGAGGGAAAAGGGACACTCACACAGAGGGTCTGGGAGGGAAAAGGGACACTCACACAGAGGGTCTGGGAGGGGGGAGGCACACACAAGAGGGAAATATGATACACTAAGGGGGTGATATACACAGAAGGGGAAAATACATTCAAAAGAGGAGTATGAGAAACATAAGTGGGTAAGAAATTCAAGAGGAGGAGTAAAGTGACACAGCTAAAGATGCATGTTTTTGTTTGCAAAATGCATCTTCGCCTGTGTAGCCAAAAATCCTTGCACTGGCCCTGGGTGCGACGTATAGTATACATTACATCGCTGGATGTTTTTTTTCCCCTTCACCATAATTGTACCATTTCAGCCCTTCCCTCCAAATCCCAAAACATTTCTTCACATGATGACATAAGGTTTGTGGGGATTGTAGTTCAGTTTCTAGATAGATAGATAGATAGATATATATATAGATATAGATATATATATATATATATATCAGAAAACTGAAATCTTAAAGGACCACTCTAGGCACCCAGACCACTTCAGCTTAATGAAGTGGTCTGGGTGCCAGGTCCCTCTAGGATTAGAAACATAGAATGTGACGGCAGATAAGAACCATTCGGCCCATCTAGTTAACCCCCTTTTTTTTTTTTTTTTATAAACATAGGGGTTTCAGAGAAACTGCTATGTTTATAAATAGGTTAATCCAGCCTCTAAAGCCTCTAGTGGCTGTCTCATTGACAGCTGCTAGAGGCATCTGCGTGCTTCGCCAGCGTCCATAGGAAAGCATTTACAATGCTTTCCTATGAGACCGGCTGAATGCGCGCGCAGCTCCTGCTGCGCATGCGCATTCAGCCGAAGAGGAGGGGGTCCCTGAGGGTGGGGGCACCCTCAGGGCATTATAGTGCCAGGAAAACGAGTATGTTTTCCTGGCACTATAGTGGTCCTTTAACTCCAATTCTCAGAAATAGCGGACATGTCCATAAACCTGATTATGGGAAAATCTCTGCTATACTATAAAATATTAAGTGAGCATCATGATTGAATAAATCATTTCCGGATTCTGTTAAAGAGGACTACAGAATCTACAAAGGCTGAGGATTTGAGCAAGTACAGGAACTTGACATGTGAGCATCACCAGCATGGAGTGACATTTGAACCGCAATTTCATAAATTTATATAAATGAGACATTTTGTAAAAAAGGAGGTAGAATGGGAAGTTCATATCGGAGCAAAATGTGCTATTATAATGAGCCTAGATAAATGTTGTCTAGTTTCAAATAATATAAACTAATTAGGTGCCAAACAGGAAAATATCCATGTTTGGGTGGAGGCTGTAAGAATTCTCTGTATCACTCATACTTTGTTTAGAAGTAGAGAAGAGAATTTGCAGCCAAAAGCCACCAAGTAAAATGCTGTTACTTATCTAACCACACTTTTCTGGACTGAACATATCTTAAACCTGTAAATTGATTCCAAAGACACAGCATTGACAAGTCCCAAGCAGACACCAGATAATGAGCAATAGGCAAGAAGTCAGCTCCTGGGGCCTCAAATGTGAAATTTAATTTAGGCAACTTAATATTTGGATATGCAATGAGAGGACATAGCAATCTCTGAAAATAATTCTAGATTGTTTTTGTATAAAGAACCAAGAGCAAAATAAAAAAAAAACATACAAAAATAAAGTGTGCCGTCTTTTGGTTTATCTGATTCCCAAATGTAATTTTAGATCCAAATCTGTATTCCATTATCTACTTACCATGCTTCACCTGCTTTAGAGTGGATGCAACTTGATAGCTGAAAACAGACTCACACAGGAATCTCTCCGAGCCATCTGCAAATAAAGGAGACCATTTAGTGCTAGGAATACAATATACACAGCAGGATATTTCCACTAATCTATGACTAAAACTGAAAGAGAAAAACAAGTTTTATTTCTAAATCCTAAAACTGAATGTAGCATTGTGACAAATTCCCTTAATTAGTTGATATCAGAGATATTGTATTTCTAGCTCTGCATGTGTACTAGAAAGAGTAAATCAAAATGAGTATATGAAGATACAGAACAAATGGCACCCCCCTATGTGTATATACGCTTGTTGTTTTAACCCCTGCTGATTTTATAGTTATTTTGTTCCAAGTAAATCTTTACTGTAGTTGCTATAGTAATTTCCATGTAGAATATTGCGCTGAGAAACACTATTCACTTTTGCATTTACCTGGAAAAGCACAAACATCAAAACAAGTTACAAAACAATAAACAAATCAGGCACTACTGAAAAAATAAATAAACAGTGGTTATCCACCTGGTAAACTCCACCAAGAATCCTTGGACTTTGAGCAGTAGTTTAAATAGAAGAAAAAGGGCCATTAAATATTATCCACGAATGTATATCCACATTTGGTTTTATTGGGACTATATCCCCCCCTCCCCTATTTCTCATGGTTTTTTCCCACTGTGAGACTTCTCAAAAGACACGGACTCCATCCTCCCACTCTACAAGTTTATTAAATGTGTGATCTTAAAAAACGTGTTTGCTTTATGCATCTAGTCTGTATTTCCCCCTCTTTTTTAAACCCCCCCAAAAAAACAAAACAACAAATCGTTAAAAAGAAAATTCCTAGCACATTAAAGCAACGTTAAAACTTTGTGAGATTATATTTGCTTTTGTAATGTTCACAAGATTTTAGAATGAAAAAAGGTACATCAGGGTTAGACTTAGTCCAACCAGAACATTGCTAATATTGTACAACCTGGGGATTCGGGAGGGTATAACCAAATGGGCAAAATGTCTTCCCTGCTATGATAAATGGCAAATGACCACAGAAAAGTGGTGGCCATGCACAATTGTACAAAAAACAAAAATCCAAAAGGAAATAATAAAACAACCTCAGTGTTTTTATTTTTAAATAATAATAATAATAAAAAAAACTTATTGCATTTCAAAAAGTTATTTCAAGTAATACCATGAAATATAAAAACATACAACCTTTTCAACAAACATCAATTGTCCGTGAACCTAACATTTCTAGTAATAATTGGCAAACACTCATTTCCACAGATACAATAAGCAATCCCTCTGAAGTAGCTTTTAAAATGATATAATATAGTAATACAGGTAGATTGGTGTCCGAGTTGGACTCTGCCGAGCTGGAGCACAAACAATTTGTCCTTTCATTCAAATAATGCAGAAAAACGGCAAGGATGTGTTTGATATACATGCAATTAATGCTTATTTTGAAGGATTCCTTTTCACTTACTATAACCCTCCCCCCATCAAATAATTGTCTTTTCCAGGACAAAACAATAGTCCTTATTGTACTTTTTACAGCGTGTCACCTTTCTATATTTTTTATTGCAACAGTGCCCAGAATGCTATTCTGTACACATAAAAATCAACCCACAGGGGATTGTTAACCCCTTAAGGACACAGCTTCAAAAGCTTGTCTTGCACTTAAGGACACGAGAAATTTTCACATTTTTTGCTGTTTGCGGTCAACTGCAATTTGCATTTTACTATTTTATTGCACCGACACATATTACCGGTTTTTAAAGGACAAAAAAGGCTTTAAATTGATGTAACGTATACATATATAAATCCTTATTTATTATTAAAAAAAAATACAAAACAAATGCCTAAAAATGTAAAAACATTGGGGTTTTTTCTTCAGTTTTTGCAATAATGTGTGCATTATTAGTGCAGGTTAAGGAAAAAAATTAAAAATAAATTGATTTAGTTGTTCTGATTTACAGAATATATATTTACAGCTCACAAAACACAATGAGTAAAATAAACTTTTAATGTGGGAGCGATTTTAGAATTTGGTATGTTTGTCTTGTAAGCGTAATAGCCATAACAGAAAACAAAATTGCCACACAAAAGTATATATTTATATAAAGTAGACATCACAGGCTATCTATTTAACATTATTTTGACACTTTTTACGTAGCCATTGCACCGCCAATCCCTGCTAAATATTGGACTAATTTTTTATTTTTTTTTGACACACAAAATTATAACAAAGAACTTCTCATGTGTATTTCGTAAAGTTAGTGTGTGCTATTCCTGTAGAAAACCTAATTTTGTGTTCAGCTGCATCTGCTGAGTACAACGATACCCCCATTGTATGTCTTTGGCACTGTTTCGTGAAGCTATAGCGCCATATAGGAGAATTGTCCATTTCAGGATTTTACAGTAGAATTTTAAAAGACGGATTTGATGGGCCTATGTTTCAATTTGGGCCACTATAGCAGTTTGTTGGAAAAAAAACCACAAAGGCCTACCATTTGTAAAAGTAGACACTCCAGAGTATCTCATATGGTGCATATTGTGCCTTAACATGCCCCCATTTTTTCACCAATGTATGTCAAAGTTTGTGGTAAAAAAAAAATTTATTTTGGGCATTTTTAACATCCGCATTACTTTTTTGCTGGGCATTTTGTATATTTGACATGTGCCACCATGATCAAAGCCCCAACATTATGCTCAGCTAAGTCTTCTGAGTAAAATGACACCCCCATTGTATGTCTTTGGCACTATTTCGTGAAGCTACAGCGCCATATAGGAGACCTGTCCATTTCAGGATTTTACAGTAAAATTTTAAAAGACGGATTTGATGGGCCTATGTTTCAATTTGGGCCACTATAGCAGTTTGACTGTTGGAAAAACCCCTACAAAGGCCTACCATTTGTAAAAGTAGACACTCCAGGGTCTCATATGGTGCATATTGTGCCTTAACATGCCCCCATATTTTCACCAATGTATGTCAAAGTTTGTGGTAAAAAATAATTTGGGGCATTTTTTTACAACTGCATTACTTTTTGCTGGGCATTTTGTATATTTGACATGTGGAACTATGATCAAAGCCCCAAAATTATGCTCAGCTAAGTCTTCTGAGTAAAATGATACCTCCATTGTAGGTCTTTGGCACTATTTCGTGAAGCTACAATGCCATATAGGAGACCTGTCCATTTCGGTATTTACAGTAGAATGAGAGACGGATTTGATGGCCCTAGGTTTCAATTTGGGACATTATAGCAGTTTGACGGTTCGAAAACCCCCCACAACGGCCTACCATTTGTAAAAGTAGACACTCCAGGGTATTTCAAATGGCATATTTTAAACCCTAGCGTAGGATAATTTTTTTGCTAGTTTGTACCAAGTCTAGTAGCAATTAGCATTTTTTCTGCCTTTTTGACACACACTTGGAAATGTTACTGTGTATATTTTGCAATCCTTATGTGTGCTAACACCTATTATGTTGCTCAGCTATGTCGTCTTAGTACAACAATACCCCCATGTGTACCTATTCAGGGATATGTGGATGTTGAAGGGGCACATTGGAGACTAAGCCATATCAGTTTTTTTCAAACTTTTAATTTTGACTACGCCACAAAGGCCTACCATTTTTTAAATAAGGTATTAATCACCGTATTGACCTGCATCAAACTCTGGGGCACTGCCGGTCAACTCTGTCTGCTAATAGAATTCATAACTTCCTAAGCATTTTTTACTTTTTACAAGAACTTTAACTCTAATGGATTAATAAAAGACCCTTTTTTCACTTCAATGAAGACCTGTGAGTGCATCCTGGTTTTGTATTATATATATATATATATATATATATATATATATATATATATATATATATATATATATATATATATATATATATATATATATATACACATACATACACACACACACATACACACACCTATATACATATACATAATGTGCAACTTATTCTCCCTGGGTGTGAAAAACTTTAAAACAGTTGCCAATACTAAGGCCGGGCTGAAAGGGGCAATAAAAGCTGGTTTCCGTCCTTATGCTCCTCTGGTAGCACAATCTGCACCTTTTCTGGGTTGTCTTCCTTTTGGGGGTTGGTGGTATCCGGAAACAGAAGTGACCTGTCTCAACCCTTCTGCTGCTAGGCCCAGCTGATGGTTCCCCACTGTGGCATTCACTGAGCAGCCCAGAAATAAGCTGAAACTGGAAATCCAGAAATGTGGATTTAATGTCAGCATTTGCCTTTTTGTACAGAATAAAGGCATTGTGAGTCGCCATTTGCAGAAGGTAAATGCCAAGCTTTTTGTACCATGCCCGGGTCTTCCTCAGTATTAAATAGGGTTGAAGCAGTAGGTCGGACAGGTTAACTCCCCCCATGTGCTTGTTATACTGCCTAATGCAGACTGGCACCCGTCTAATTTCTTGTCTGCTACGAACTGCGACTCTTCGAGTGTGCTCAGTATGCATAGATGTTAGCATGAAAACCTCCTTCTTAACTTTGAGTTTGAGAGCCAGCAGTTCGTCCTGGCAGAGAGCAGCCGTTTCCCCCCTCTTGAGCTTTTTTTGTGCCAGGGCTTTTGGGAAACCGACACGTGTCTTTCGGATAGTGCCGCAGGCCACAGTTTCAAAGCAGTAAAGCATCCGAAGAAGAGGGATGCTATTATAGTAATTGTCTATAAATAAATGATATCCCTTATTTAGCAATGGGTTAATTAAATCCCATACGATTTTTCCACTCGTCCCAATGATATCCGGGCAACCAAGTGGCTGTCTTTACCTTCGTAAACACGGAAGGTGTAAACAAAACCACTGGCACTTTCACAAAAGTTTATACAACTTTATCCCACACCGGGATCTTTTGGCTGGGATATACGGTTTAAACCCCAGTCTGCCCTTGTATTTCATTAGAGACTCATCTACACACATTTTTTTGTGTGGTGTACATTAAGCCAAACTGTCTGTTGAAGTGGGAAATAAGGGGGCGAATCTTATAGAGATTATCGTATTGAGGATTATCTCTTGGGGGGCACTTCGAATTGTCGCTGAAGTGTAAAAAGCGAAGCATTGTTTCTGAACCTGTTCATGGTCTGGGAGTAAATAGGGGTGATGCATACAGGATTTTTGGACCAGTACATCCTGATGCTGTTTTTTTTTTAATAATGCCCATTAGCATTGTTAGTGCCCAATTTTTTTTTTTATTTTGGCACACTGGTGGGGTACCAACTCCCTTGCCTGGCGATGAGACTCTGATCATTAAGTGTCAGGTACTGCACAGCATAAAGGTTGGTCTTGGTGACTATATCCCGTAAAATATCATCCCCCAAGAATAGCTGCATGAAATGTTAACCCCACGATCGCCGCGATCTGGCGTTAACGTTAGTAAATGACGGAGATTTTCTGTCAACGTTCCTTAACGCACGGACAAGCTTGACGGAAAATCTCAGTCTTCGGTCAAGAAGGGGTTAATATTTACTGAATAAGGCGGATAATACTCTGGATTCATAACATTGACCTTAAAGGGGCACTGTAGGCACCCAGACCACTTCAGCTAATTGAAGTAGTCTGGGTGCTGTGTCCCTTTTGCACTTAGTGCTGCAATGTTAAAACTGCAGTTTCATAGAAACAGCAATGTTTACATTGCAGTTCTAAGTCTGCCCTCTGTGGCTGTCTAACAGACAGCCACTGGGGGCACTTCTGGATTTGGAACGGACTTTTGAACCCCTCAGCGACATGGGATGGGGGCACTCCCGGATTCTCTAGTGACAGGGAAACTGGTGAATCACTTTAACGTACTTACTGATATGTTTTAATCCAGGTAATAGCACTCAGCACTAACATAAGATTTACCAGGTAGTTGGTCCCTGTTTGGTGTTTTGGCAAGTCAGTCTCACGTGAACTTTAACAATATGTTGTGGGCTTGTGTAGAATTGTAAAAGGGACACTATAGTCACCAGAACAACTACAGCTTAATGTAGTTGTTCTGGTGAGCATAGCATGTCCCACAGACATTTTAATGTAAACACAGCCTAGATCACACAGATGGCCACTAGAGGTCCTTTCTGGGTCAGAGATGCTGACTTGCACAGCGAAGTGTTTTACCTTTAGTGACATATGGAAAAGCACTGGATTGGCAATCAATTTCAATGATGACCACAGCCAAAGAGTCAGAGTGGGGGTGGAGCCAACCGCAGTAGGCCATAGCGGCGCAGGAAGATAAGTTTTGAACCTTTTTATTGGGGGCAAGTGGGGCCAAAGCACACTGCAGTGGTTATGATGCCCAGGTACCCCCAATACCCAATGTAAGCAGTCAAACGGTTTGGTACTTAAGGTCCACTTGGTGCCATCCATTGCATCCAGCTTGAAGTGTTCCCTTAAAGGAACACTTTAGGCTTTAATGCATTAAAGGGACTCTCCAGTGCCAGGGAAACAAATCCGTTTTCCTGGTACTGCAGAATCTTGCTGTTTAATGCTGTTAGGGTGGTATAGTATGCCCTAACGATTGGGCCCTACCGGCACCCAGCCTACTTACCCTCTGCAGTGATCGTGATCTGTAAGACTGTATAACAACAGATGCAGTCCCTCTGCAGTCAATCTATTGACATTTTGGCTGCAGGATGACCGTCACAGTTGGAATAAACAAACGTAATATTCGGTTTTGCATGTAATATATATATATATCCAGGCAGAACGTCCAGATAATTTAATTAGCACGCTCTTTATTTGACCCTGTAACTTTCCAAAACCCTATAAAACTTGTACATAGAGGGTACTGTTGTAGATGTAGAGACGTTGCTGAACACAAATATGAGTATCAGTTTTTGTGTGCAAAAAAAATAAAAATAAAGTATGAACACTAACTTTGACCAAGGTTGTGAATACCCTAGGTTGCCTATTTTTGCAAATGGCATGCCAAGATGGTGGTATTTCTCATTATTGGGCTGCCATACAGTCTCAAAGGCAACATAGGCCTAGCAAACCAATCTGGCAAATTTCGGTGTGACAAGCTCTTTATTTGACCCTGTAACTTTCCAAAACCCTATAAAATGTATACATTGGGGGTACTGTTATATTAGTGAGACATCGCCCAACACAAATATGTTTATTTTATTGCAATAAAAGCAAACTTTATTATGACATGCACAGTTCAAATTTCATGCTCCTGAAGCCCGTGTGCCATAATTACTGATCATGGGAAGTTTCGGCATTAAAAACCAGAGGTTTACCACGTAAGACGCAAGTTTTATAAAAATGAAAATTTCATTTAAAGTGATAAATCCCAGTCTGTTGGCACAACTTGAAACATTTGGCAACACAGTCAAACTAAATTGTTTATTATCTGTGTACTTTTAGCTTTACAGACTAATCCAATGGGCCGTGTATTGGGTTTACATGGTGATCCATGTAGTATAGAGTGATGCAGATATGATTAATGGTTATCCATGGTGCACTGAGACACATTGGATATACTCATTGATACACACATATCATAATTGGCAGGACAGACTGCCAATTATAGAACACACACACATAGACACTTATTTGCACCTTACCCTGTCACAGGTGCCTCATTCCAGGGCCCTATTAGGTTGCTTTGGTAGGGAACGTCCAAAAATGGGGTACACTAGCGTTATGGCAGGCTTATGCCACATGTATGATCATATACTGTAACTAAAACCCAGTATCGTTGCCTAGGTTAGGCGTTTTTTAAAATAACTTACATTCTGTGAGTTTTGAAGTTGCAGTTTAGTGAATGAGTATACTGGAGTAGATTATATAAAACATTTTTTACATGTAACCTTTGCAGCCACACAGGGCACCATCCAAAACTTGGAAAAGCTGGGATAAAAAAAATCCTGTTACCCTCCTACCAATAAAGTGTTTGTACTGGTGTTGGTGATGTATGGAGGTGGTTGGTAATGCAATGGTGAGCATTTTCTCTCAGTCACAGCCATTGTTGATTAAGTTACAATGAAGATGGAAGGTTAACTAATTTAGCGATTTCCAATGTAATTAGTCCTAAAATGCGTGTAGCACGGTCTTAGAATGGCCCAGCAGGCGCTGTGTGTTTTGTAAACTGTTTCTATAGATGCGAAACTGGAAAGTGAAAGGAGAAAACAATCAAGGGAAGGAGGAGGAGATGGTTAAAATGAGAGAATTCAGGAGAGAGACACCAAAGCAAAGAAACAGGTTGACCGTGGGATACGCAGATAGCAAGGAGGATTCCCAATTAAAGGCCAGCAGTAGGTGACGCATCACAGGGCATGTGTACTACAAAAGTATTACTAGAAAACACGTAGACACAACATGTTTAGAGAGTCTATAAATCACGGGTACTTGTGTGGGAGTTTCTGAGAAATGTATATTTTGGTTCCATAATCAAAAAAGATAGACTAACTTCACAAGTACATGACTGCCCTAAATTGTTCCATAAAATCTGGGACCCTTGGCTAGTCAGATACACCTCCTTCCCTTGGTAATTCTAAATTAATTGGTTGAGGACTAGACACTGTGGATAATGCCTGCCTCACTTCCATACCCCCTCTAATCTCTCCATCCCACTCTCTCCCCCCTCCCATTCGGGGTCAGAGCTGTGGCTGCAGGTGCTCAGATTCTCTTGGGGTCATACCATCCTTTGTAAGTGCCGACAAAGGAAACATTCCCTCCATCCTTTTATTTCTTATTTCTACCTCTCACGTTCTACTTATGGACTATAGGGAATCTCTGGTTGTCTCAGTTACCCACAGGATATAGACTTCTTCCAAAGATATCCATACATAGGCCAAGACCCCTCCATCCACATACCTCCCCTTTTCCTCTTACTGTACATGTAGGTCTGTTCTACACTCGCTCTGAGTCTATGTCTGGGGTCCGGTTAAATGCCCCTGGATAATGGACCTCAAATTATCACATACTTTCAGGTTGCTTTGAAAAACCAAGATCTTACCTTAATATAATTGTAGGGCCAATATAAGAATAACATGTCTTTACCCTGTCATTATGTGACAATTCCAAATTACAATTTTTTCCCCTGTTATTTCTAATTGTCAATTCTGTTGTAATTCTTTTGAAAAAACAAAAATAAAGAATTTTGAAAAAAAAGACAAGACAAGGGTGTATAGTAGCTGGAAATAGCAATATACACCAGACAAGGATCAGTAATTGTGACCCATAATTTATCTAATCCTCCTGTATACCAGTAAGAAAACTTCTAAAAGAGAAGACGAGTGTGGCAGGTTTCCCCTGCATGTTAATTCCATTTATGGAGCCCGTTTGGTTGCCCTACGATCAGTTTATACAAATCTTGGAGTAATTAAAAATACCCAAAACTCTCCTCCTCCTTTGATCCTTAACAAGCTATAGTACAAGAAATATTGTGGCCCCTTAAACATAGTATCCTGAAGCCATTTAAATCTGAAATAATTCTGGAAATGGTTTGTTTCAAAACTAAGAAGTCCCACCCAATGCTTTGAATTACCATTTAAATGTTAATTAACGAAACCTGCTTTATATAGGTAGATCACCCTTTGAAGATGTGGTGTAAAATCAAATAGGGTGGTCAGTGATTGTTCTATCTTAATAGAAGTTTGACCTAGACGGCTTGGAGACTGGGGGTGAGGGGCTGCTAGCCTGAAAGTCACATATTAAAACTGAGAAGATGTATTTAAAAAAAAAAAAAAAAAAAAGTGCCCATTAGAGGGTCACTGAGCACCTAAATCACTACATTTTAAAACCTGCTATTTTTTTCTTGGACAATGGGGGAATAAATAAATAAATAAATAAAAATGCTGTTTCAGACATTCAGCATTATTTTTTGTTGCCTGACGCCCGGGACATGCAGTTTTGGGCTTCGTACAGGCAGTTTATTTGGGAGATTAGCCCTGCCACGGGCAAGCGGCAGGACTGGTGTGGAGAGGACAGTGGTTGGGGCTAGGCACACTTTAAAAATCTCATTAGATGATCAAATCAACAGTTCTGGCATTCTCTACTGAATCAGAGCGCATTGCAGACTCCCAGCATGCACTTTGACTCAATGAGTGCTCGAACCATGAGGAGCAATTACAGAGGTCACGGTCTGAGGCCATGTGCTTCATATATTAAAGCCTGATAATGTTTACAAAAAAATTTACTTGGGTGAGAATAAGAAGGGCTGCCCACACACTACAAACAAACACACAATACATACAGCCAACATACATATTACACAATACATACAGCCAGGAATTAGCTGCTAGAATGAAAAATAGGGAAATCAGAGTAGGTAAAGTGAGTAAATATGTGACAGTAGTTAAATCTAGCATTTAGTTTAAATCCTTATCATAAAGTGTTGGAGAATTTTATTGTGCCAGGGAACGTAGATAGTCATGACAGACATTGCTTTGGGTAGCACTTTAGTCCTTTAGATAAACAGATTTCTTTTTAACTTTACACACCCCAGAATGAAAATGGGAACTGCTGGAAAAGATCTGTTAATTCCACCCAGTATAACACTTTACCCAGGAGCAGCTCCACTGTTATCCTAGCCAGTTTGCCTCCAAAACACCCAAAAGCATAGTGACTAAATATTCCAATAACTAGAGTGGTGTATTCACTATAAATTTGCATATGTCCCAACATTCCCTGGCCAATCAAGCCATTTCACCCTGTCTGTTTTTCCTCTAATTTCTGCTTCTGGGAACAAAATACAAAGAAGGCGACCTCAAAAAGATGAATCTGTAACTAAGCAAGCTAGCGCCAAAGAAGGCCAATGCAGGGCATTTCAGCCCAAATGAGAGGGGCTGACTCCACTGTGATCTATGTTTGGACAGCTTTGATTGGGGTTTTTGTCCTGGATAACACAGCCTCTCATAGTGCAAATGCACCAAAATGTAAAATCTCACAATGTTGGTTTACTTAAAGGGACACTATAGTCACCAGAACAACTACAGCTTAAGTGTTCTTGCATAGCAAGACCACTTAATGTCAACTCACATATATATTATTCTTATTCTAGCCAAATTTACCACCCTAACTCCTCCCACAGTTTTTACACTACATAGACCGTAATATACCGAAATGTGCGGATTGTTCCCGATTGGATTGCTATTACTTTGTGGAACGTTTCGCCGAATGGTTCACGGAATCTCGTCGTTCTTGTGGTGAAATTGGTCCCATAGGAATGAATGTTCAAAACTAGAGTGGGAGCTGGCAAAAGCAGAAAAATAAGGACATGGAAATGAGGGAGTGGTGGCAGTTTAGAAATCAAGCCCACCTACACAAATCTTTTATCAAAACGTTCAGCTATCCCTGCTGCCACTAATAATGTCCACGGCTAAGCCATAGTCCTGATCGTTCTCACAATATGACCATTTGTTTGCAACTCACGCTGTCCATTGACATTCATTGAAACTCCACTCTAGCCAGCTAAAATACATCCATACTATACATCAAAATGTAGGTCTGGGTCTTGTGATTCTCACAATATAAAGCTCTTTGCTGTAGGATTTATAGTTTTTAAAATACGACCATTTGAAAATGGCAACCGCCAAAATACTCTGACCTGTGCCAGGCTGCAGCAGCAAGTGATGTCATAGAGAGGGCCTTTTGTATACCTGCTAATGTTTTTATAAATATATGGTTTAATGTAACTGTGAAGCACTTTGGGCAACAACGTTGCAATTAAATGTGCTATATAAATAAATAATAGTTACTCCGCCCACTCCAGTTGTAGACTACTGGTGGAGGCAAGAACACTTCACACAATTTCCCCAGAAATTGTAGCTTTTCTAGTTGTATTTATTCTGGTGAGTATAAATCATTTACTTGAGGCTTTTTGCAGTAAACACATTTTTTCCTGAGAAAATGCAGTGTTTACATTACAGCCTAGGGATAACTCCACTGGCCACTCCTCAGATGGCTACTAGAGGTGCTTCCTGGGGCAGTGTGACTATATTTTTTACTATATTTAGGGGAAAAGGGTGTGGGGCAGGGGGTGGGAGGAGAAGTTGGTGTATTTAACACCATATGATCAGAAATACATGTTTGTGTTCCTGATCCTATAGTGTTCCTTTAACAGTCAGACCAAAACACCTGAGCTGGTAAAGTCATTCAACTCTGAAAGGTTTCCCGTTCAACTATTCATCTGTAATATTTGCAATTTCATTACAAATTATCCCCAAAATCCCAATTTTAGCAAATAAACCTAATATAGGACATAATAGCCACCTTTGAGTTGAAAATATTCCACACCTTCTATATTTTTCAACCAGTCTCATCTAAAATTTAGGAAGCTTGATTTTCAGTTCACCCAAAAAAATCTCAATTTTGTAAAAACGCCTCATGAAGTTTAGAGGAGTGAATTTCACTTACACATGAACGTGGTCATTCTGATCATGAAAGGCTCAGATAACCCCCAAGTTCTTTGTTGCCTTAGCCGAGCAAAGACTTGAAGAATTAACCGGTGTTAATAATATGGTGAAAGCAAGAATAACACACCCCAGAGCATACAAAAGAGCATCACAATTCCACAGCACTTCAGTGTTCAGGGGTTGCTTATAACGCCCGGGCTGCTCATGGTCTTTTTTTAAAATAAATTGCCATATGACAAACATTGACTGTGACAGGTAAGAACCATTTGGCTCATTTACACAATTTTCAAAATACTTTCCCTGGCCTTATCTTATAGTTAGGATAGCCTTATGCCTAATCTCCCTCACTGTGTTAACCTCTACCACTTCAGCTGGAAGGCTATTCCATGCATCCACTACCCTCTCAGTAAAGTAATACTTCCTGAAATTATTTTTGAACCTTTGAACCTCTAATTTAAGACTATGTCCTCTTGTTGTGCATATGCACACTCTGTTTTCTTTCAGTAGTGTCTTATGCACATGTGAAACTGGCGATAATTAAAATACATAAATAACACAGCTAAATAAAAAGAGCAGCTTATATCTTTTAGTTAGCTATCGATCTGTGCATAAAGCACCATTGTGACTGTTCTGCTTTAAGGATATTAGATACCATGCTACTCTCAAACAAAATTATACATTTTTATTATCGCCATTCATATAGCGCCAACAGATTCCGTAGCGCTCTATAATATTATGAGAGGGGGGATTTAACTATAAATAGGACAATTAGAAGAAAACTTACAGGAAGAGGACCCTGTTTAAACAAGCTTACAGTCTATAGGAGGTGGGGTATAAAACACATTAGGACAGGAAATAGCAATTAAATAAGGTGGGAGTGAAGCAGAGCTGGAGGAGAGAGTAGAGTGCTGCCCTTAAGGGGAGAGCAAGAGACAGGTATGTGAGGTAGAGGTTACTCTGGGAGTCCATAAGCTTTCCTAAAGAGATGGGTTTTAGGCACTTCTTAAACGATTGAAGACTAGGGGAGATGGCGGTAGGCAGGCTATTCTATAGGAAGGGAGCCGCCCACCAGAAGTCCTGCAAGAGTGAGTTGGCCGTATGGATGCGAGTAGTGGACAGGAGGTGGTCACGGGCAGAGTGGAGAGACCAAGAAGGGGCATACCTATGGATCTGTCAATGCTTTATAGGTATGGGTTAGCATTTTGAATTGACTCCAATAGGATACAGAAAGCCAATGTAAGAACTGACAAAGGGGTGAGGTGTGAGAGGACTGACAGGAGAGGAAAATCAGTCTGGAGGCAGCATTCATTACAGACTGTAGCAGGGCAATACTTTTTTGGGAAGACCAATTAGGAGAGGTTTACAATAATCCATACAGGAAATTACTAGAGCATGGACAAGCTCTTTGGTATCATCTTGTGTAAGAAATGGGCGGATGTGGGCTATGTTTTTAAGATGGAATCTACAGGATTTAGTAACATGCTGGATGTGAGGCCAGAGTCAAGTATGACGCCTAGACAGCGCACTTGCAAGGATGGACTTATGTGGATACCACTAACTTGAAGAGAGACTGAAAGATGAGGATCAGTATTAGGAGGAGGAAAGACAAGGAACTCAGTTTTAGAGAGATTGAGTTTCAGAAAGCGGGAGGACATCTAGTCAGAGATGGAAGAAAGGCAAGCAGTGACACGTTGCAGGACGGCAGGGGAAAGGTCCGGGGAGGAGAAATATATCTGGGTGTCATCAGCGTACACGTAGTAGTGGAATCCAAAAGAGGCAGTATAAAGAGAAAATAGAAGGGGACCATTGGGGGACTCCAACAGAGACAGGACATTAGTAAAGGAGACACTGAATGAGCATTTGGAGAGATAAGAGGAAAACGACGAGAGGACAGAGTCACAGAGACCGAGAGACTGAAGAGTTTGAAGAAGGAGAGCATGATCAACGGTGTCAAAGGCAGCAGAGAGGTCAAGAAGAATTAATACGGAGTAGTGGCGTTTGGATTTAGCTGCGATTAGGTAGTTAGTAACTTTGATAAGAGCAGTCTCAGTAGAGTGGAGGGGGCGGAAGCCAGATTGAAGAGGGTCAAGGAGAGAGTTGGAATTGAGGAAGTGAGACACACCGGTAAAGACAAGTCTTTCCAGAAGCTTTGAGGAAAAAGGGAGCAGGGGTAAATAGATGTTTTTTTCAGGATAGGTACTACAGTGTCATGTTTAAGGTCAGCGGGGACAGAGAGAGCAGTTGAAGATGTGTGTTAAGGAAGGCACAAAACAAGGGGAGAGAGATCTGGTAAGGTTAGACGGGGCAGGATCGAGAAGGGCAAGTGGTGGAAAAGATGCAGTAGACGCCAATCACAGAACAAAAAAAATAAATTGTCAGAGGGTGCATACATTTGGCTTCTATTGCCAAACAAACAATAACATAAAAATAGGATAGATTTTTGCCTCCCAGATGTTTTAATGTGCTGAAAAGCACATAGCTTGCAACTTGGGCCTATACAGTATCACTTGGTTAGAGAAGTTTTGAGTGCCCGCTTGTGGTCAAGATGTAGAATTACTGTTTAGAGTTAAAGTATTGGTGCATAAAATATTGCAGGGAACCCATTTATTTACAGCAGGGATTTCTCTGCTTACAATTGTTTATATAGTAGTGTATGCGTGTTGTTTTTCTTTCACTATAAAGATCAAGGCCCATTTATGGCTCATAAAATTCAAAAATAAATCCAACCAACAGAAAAAAAAAATGCATTGCCTTGCTAAAGCAATTACTAAATAAAATAAACCATAAAATCTGCTTACATCAATAGAACTACCTCAAAAAATATCAGTCTGATAAAATAAACAGTCATGTATAAATAATAAAATACAAAAAACAAACAAACAACATAGTATATGATAGGTTAGAATAGGGACAGTAGAGACACGCCAATAGTCTGCTACATAATTTAAATTTTCGTCTCCCAGAACTCAAGGTACAAGGAAAACATAAATTAAAAAAAAAAAAAATAAGAAAGCATTATTCACTAAAGCAGAACTTAAATTTCTAGTTTAAAGTTCTATGCCACTAGCCAGGCACTAAACGTTACTCACCAATTCAAGCCATTGCATACCCACCAGGGAGAATTTCTACTCGCCAGGCTAAATTTCCACTCACTAATGGCAAGTGGAAATTTTGAGCCCTTCAGTAGAGTGTGCGAGAGGACAGCTAGCTTATAACATGAAAAAGGCTGCTAAAAGGCTGGCTGAGCAGGATAAGAAAAGTATCTCACAAACAACTAAGGTGCAAAGGTTAGCCTCTCATTGCAAGTATGGCAGCCTTAAAGGAACACTAATGCCCAAATGGTGAAAAGAAAAAAATAAATAAATCACTATTTAGTAGATATGCTTCCAATGATTACATGCATGTATTCATTAGGTATATATGTTACAAGAATGTGCAAAGGCTGTAGATTGTATGAACTGCAGCCTTAGCTAGCCCTCCCCTTTTCCCCCCCAGAAGAGACTTTCAGTCTCTTCGCAGGGAAATAACCAAAGACTTCTCATTGAGAAGCCTCTGAATTTGTTCCCATGTGAATATCTGTTCTGGAAGAGCTGGTCTGAGGTCGACACTCTTAAAAAGAGCGTGCCTGCCACGTCCGTTAAGGAAGCTGACGGAAGTAGGAAGGAAAACTCTCTGGCGGTTTGATTGACAGCCAGTGGGGTGTTCCCTGGTTACTTTATAAAAGTGCAGACTTTTTTTTAAACTTTGATACTCCTCACCCATAAAGCAATTCAGCAAGCTGAAGTGCTTTTGTGGTGTAGAGTGGTGCTTTAAAGAGCACATGTGCTTTTTAGATAGTGACAATACAGCTTTTACCGTTTTCCTGGAACTGAAGAGTCCCTTTAAATCACTTTGTTTATGCAGCTCTAGGCACACTTCCCTGCATGTGACTTGCACAGTCTTCCTAAACACGTACTGTAAAGAGTCATCTAATATTTATACTTCCTTTATTGCACATTATGTTTAATTTAGAATTTATTGTCTCCTGCACTGTTAATAGCTTGCTAGACCTTGCAAGAGCCTCTTGTATGTAATTAAAGTACAGGAGATAAAAACTTACAGAACAATTTAACATCTGATTGAAAATTAAAACTTTTTTTAGTGCAGGTTGTGTCACAGCCAGGGAAGATGTGGCTAGTGCTACTTGGACAGTAACAAAAGTGATTTAACTCCAAAACAGCAGAGAACTTAGCAGTGAAACTGCAGGAGTATGATCTATACACAAACATTGTTTCATTAAGCTAAAGTTATTTTGATGACAATAGCGTTCCTTTAAATCCAAGTCAGGTAGCTGTCTTCTAGACAGCCACTGGAGTCGCTACCTGCTCCCTTACAGAGAGTTTTACCCTGTGAAATGATGTTGGATGTCGAACGTCTTCAGATTCCCCAGCGCAAAATAGAGGCAAGAGAGATTTACAATAATTAAATAGGTTTCTAATCTTTTCAAGATTGAAGGGAAAGACCTATTAAATTAGGTACAGGGCACACTTTAACGTTAGGAACATAGGCTTGAATTCCTAACGCAATAGTGTTCCTTTAATAAGCATGTGCACATCACTAGTCCCGGAATCAACAGTACAGTCCCTATTTTGGGGGCCTGTTCTGCAATAGCTGGTTTGCTCTCTGGAGCACTGCTTTTGGGGACGCCAGTGACCAGGACCTTTAGAAAGTGCAAACGCATTCCAACTGTGCAAGCGTAAATCTGAACTGGGCTGACCAAAGCAGCTGACAGCCATCCTAACAAGTTACATTCAGATAACAATGCCAAAATTTGCATAGAAAAGATGGAGCTTGCATTACATTGCTAAAATGGGTTGTAGGCAAAGACATTACCACCATATTTACATATTAAAAGACACACAAATGTGGTCATTGGTTTGTGTTGGTTGTATTTTGGGACTGTGACCACTATACTAGCTGTTCTTACCTTCCAGCATCTCCCCAGCTGCCTTGGGACAGGTGAAAAGTGCTTTACGTGGAGGAGCCAGATCGGAAACACTGAAGCCGGATCCTGTCACAGAACTCCCACTCACACCACCAGCTGAAGAGGATGACGATGAGGCAGCCATTGTTCAATACACTCTAAATAAAAAGACAACAAAATATATCCAATATATATTTACATATTTATGTTTTAACCAATTAAAAGATGCGGAATCAGAAAAAAACACACTAGGAAATTAGGTGAGGGCACACTACAAACAACACTTGTGATTACCCTTAATTGAAAGATATGCTCCGTACTTAGTTAACTCCTGTATATAAAATATAAAAACAGGAAAAGAACACACGTAGGGTAATAACGTAAAAACCTTAAAATTTAAAAGACAAATAAGGTTTCACTCACATGGTCATGAGCCACTTAAAATAAGCTGGCTCAGACTAAAAGCGTAGAAAATATCAGTTTGTGGTACTTCACACACCAGGCTGTTCCCCCTTATATTTTATATACAGGAGTTAAGTACGGAGCATATCTTTCAATTAAGGGTAATCACAAGTGTTGTTTGTAGTGTGCCCTCACCTATTTTTTATTGTATACTGGTTATTTGTATGTGTTTTGAGTGACGCACATATGGTGATAGGAGCACCTTCTTTTGATTTGGATATTTTATTATTTTAGCCTTATATTTTATTTATTCTAGTACACTAGGAAATTAGAATACCTGTATTATAGGAACAGTAAGATTTACGTACAATCTCATCTCATGAACCTAGTTTTTTTTTTTTCTTGTTAGAATGAATATATTTAAGTTTTTTCCCCCCATCTTCTCTTTTGAATTATCGTGTTCCTTTACTAGCATTAGTCACTCCAGCCTCAAGGGTAAAAAAAAATGCATTTCATTTGTGTAAAGCTCCAGTATCATTACTGTTAGAATTTATATAGGGTCAGCACACATTCTGCAGTGCTTTAGCATTTTATAATAATGGAGGTGTAAACAGAGACAAACAACACGTTTACAGGAGCCATACGTAATTCTAGTAAGCTTACAATGGAGAGAAAGAGAGGTATAAGTACACCCGAGGACAGACAATTTTTAATGTACAAGATAAGGTATTAAGCCTGTATCTACATAAACCAATGAAAGAGGAAAGCCATAGAGTGAAAAGGTGAGAGAGTGGAATGGTCGGTGGAGCCACTAATTATTTCAGGAGAGACAAAACATACTGGTTTAAGGAATTAAATTGCTTAGAGCAATGCTACGCTAGTGTAAAGAGATTAGGACTTTTTAAGTACTGGCAGGACAGGAGATTGGGGGAATGTCTAGTAGGAAATCCTACAGGAGAGAATTACCACAGTGAATGCAAACAGAGGACAATGGCAGACATCGGTGAAGGGGTGTATGTGGGGTAAAGTTTTTAAAAGCTTCTCAGCTTAGTGTTAGTTTTTTGAATTTGACCCCAAATAATACAAAAAGCAAATATAAAAGTGTTACTCCAGGCACCATGACCCCTTCATCCCTATGCACAGAATTGCAATTATTGGCTGAGAGTAGTCCGCTGACGTTCTCAACCAATGAATTCCCTGCAGGATTGGCATCCTGCTCTGCAGACCCTGGATACATGCCATAGCCAGTCTTAAAGGGACACTATAGGCACCCAGACCACTTCAGCTAATTGTGTTAAACATTGCAGTTCCAGAGAAAATGCAATGTTTATATTGTAGCACTAAGTCTGCCAACAGTAGCGGTCTCCCAGACTGCCACTGGAAAAGCTTCCTGGATCCAAATGGACCGGTAACGGACTCTGGATGTTCTCACGCTCTGCATGAGAACATCCAGTGTCAGATTTTTTCCCATAGGAAAGCATGGATTCAATGCTTTTCTATGGGGACTAATGCAAGCACAGCATTTGCCACACCTGCGTATTAATGCCCGCACGCCACGGGAAATCGGAGGAGGTGGAGCCACGACCCAGCGCTGAGGGACATCAGTGCTGGCTTAGGGTAAGTAAATAAGGTGTTATTAACGTGGCGGGGTGGGGGGGAAGAGGGGGCGAGTGAGGCAGAGGGAGCTCTAGTGCCAGGAATACAGCTTTGTATTCCTGGCACTTATATTATCCCTTTAAAGGAGACCAACTTCCTGGCAGAACCAGGTAAGAGGACAAACCGCTGTTCAGGAAGCAGGTACCGAAGAAGACCAGGACAGCTAGAAGCTTCTGCTTAGGTAAATCAATCTCAGCCAATGAGCTATGCCCTGTGCAGCTCAGTTAGAAAGGTTCTGGCTCACCTCTATGCTGTAGCTGAGACAGGGAGAGGTGCCCAGTGGACCCCAAATAAGAAGTCACACCATTCTAAGATGATTTGACTACATATATTAGGTGGGAACCAGATAATGTCTGAAACCATAATCAATACAACACACTGTAGTGTGTCTGGAGTTTTCTTTAAACTGTAATATTAGTGTAGTCTTTGTAAAAAAGGGCACATCCAAAAACTATATAAAAATAAACTTTGTAAAAGTATGTTTGTGACTTAAAAGACAAAACAAAACCAATCATAAACTAAAGTAGAGAAAAGGAACATCAAAGGCAATTAAAAGTAAAGGCATGTATTCGCCCCATTGGTAATTAAAACCAAAATATATCACAAGGCCACACTAATAAATGTACATGTACAAAAATAAATAAATAAAATATAATATATAGCTTACCCATTTCATTAGTACACTTTATACAGATAAATCACAAGGTTGTTTTTTTTTTTAGACCTACTACATTAGAATATGTTAATTATTGCCTTGAAAATGACCCGTTTTTCAATAAAAATTGTCAAATTCAAAAAAAAATGACCCGTTTTTCCTATCTGTGATAATCACCTCAGTGAGAAGGTCCTTATCCATATACTAATCTAAAGTGTTTGCAGTAAACAAGGCACTTTGCCTGGAGTCATACAGGACAATAGAAGCTTTGACAATGTTGATTATTGTCATCAACATTGTCTTCCTCGAACTCTCTTGATGTCTTCTCCTCTCACAAACATGAAAACAAAGTAATTTACAGGATGCTCAGACAGCATATCAGGGCTGGCTCCAAGGTTCCAGTTATTATTATTAATCATCATCATCATCATCATCATTTATATAGCGCCAACAGATTCTGTAGCGCTTTACAATATTTTGAGAGGGGGGATGTAACAATAAATAGGACAATTACAAGAAAACTTACAGGAACAATAGGTTGAAGAGGACCCTGCTCAAATGAGCTTACAGACTATAGGAGGTGGGGTATTAGAAACATTAGGACAAGAAATATCAAGTAGGAGTGAAGCAGAACTGGAGGAGAGAGCAAAGCACTGTCCCATAGGAGAGAGCAGGAGACAGGTATGTAAGGTAGAGATTACTCTGGGAGGCCATAAGCTTTCCTGAAGAGATGGGTTTTAAGGCTCTTCTTAAATGATTGAAGACTAGGGGAGAGTCTGATGGCAGTAGGCAAGCTATTCATAGGAGAGGAGCCACCCGCGAGAGGTCCTGCAAGCGCGAGTTGGCCGTACGGGTGCGAGCAGCGGTGAGGAGGTGGTCACGGGCAGAGCGGAGGGTACGAGGAGGGGCATATCTATGGATTAGTGAAGAGATATAAGTGGGGCTAGAATTGTTCAGTGCTTTAAATGTGTGGGTTAGCACTTTGAATTGACTCCTATAGCATACAGGGAGCCAATGTAAGGACTGGCAGAGGGGTGAGGTGTGAGAGGACCGACTAGAGAGGAAAATCAGTCTAGCTGCAGCATTCATGACAGACTGTAGCGGGGCAATACGGCTTTTGGGGAGACCAATCAGGAGAGGGTTACAGTAATCCATGCGGGAAATTACTAGAGCATGGACAAGCTCCTTGGTAGCATCTTGCGTAAGAAAGGGGCGAATGCGGGCTATGTTTTTGAGTTGGAACCTACAGGACTTGGCAACAAACTGGATGTGAGGCTCAAAGGTGAGACCAAAGTCAAGTATGACGCCAAGACAGCGCGCTTGCAGGGATGGACTTATGTGGATATCACTGAGATGAAGGGAGAGCGAGAGAGGAGGATCAGTATTAGGAGGAGGAAAGACAAGGAGTTCAGTTTTAGAGAGGTTAAGTTTCAGAAAGCGTGAGGACATCCAGTCAGAGATGGAAGAAAGGCAAGCAGTGACACGTTGCAGGACGGCAGGGGAGAGGTCCGGGGAGGAGAGGTATATCTTAGTGTCATCAGCGTACAGGTGGTAGTGGAATCCAAAAGAGGCAATAAGTTTACCTAGAGAGGCAGTATAAAGAGAAAATAGGAGGGGACCAAGGACAGACCCTTGGGGAACTCCAACTGATACAGGACGAGGGGAGGAGGTATCCTTGGAAAAGGAGACACTGAATGAGCGTTGGGAGAGATAGGAGGAAAACCAAGAGAGGACAAAGTCACAGAGACCGAGCGATTGAAGAGTTTGAAGGAGGAGAGCATGATCAACGGTGTCAAAGGCAACAGAGAGGTCAAGGAGAATTAATATGGAGTAGTGACCTTTGGATTTAGCAGACATTAGGTCATTAGTCACTTTGATAAGAGCAGTCTCAGTAGAGTGGAGAGGGCGGAAGCCAGACTGAAGAGGGTCAAGGAGAGAGTTGGAATTAAGGAAGCGAGACACACGGGTAAAGACAAGTCTTTCCAAAAGCTTTGATGAGAAAGGGAGCAGGGATATGGGACGATAGTTAGAAGGGGAGGATGGGTCAAGAGATGTTTTTTTCAGGATAGCTATTACAGTGGCATGTTTAAGGTCAGCAGGAACAGTGCCAGAAGAGAGAGAGCAGTTAAAGATGTGTGTTAGGGTAGGCACAAGACAAGGGGAGAGAGATCTGATGAGGTGAGATGGGACAGGATCGAGCGGGCAAGTGGTGGGGCGAGAGGAATGGAGAAGCGCAGCCACCTCTTGTTCAGTAGCCGGGTAGAAAGTCTGGAGGGTAGGGAAAGCAAGATTTACATGTGGTTGAGAAAGAGAACGGCAAGGAGGGGAGAATTGTTTCCTTAGCTGTTCAATCTTGTCGGTAAAGTAGCATGCAAAGCTATCAGCTGTAAGGTTAGTTTGGGGGGTGGCCACAGCAGGGCGGAGAAGGGAATTAAAGATGTCAAAGAGACGTCTGGGATTGCGGGAGCATGAACTAATGAGAGAGGAAAAGTATGACTGTTTGGCGAGGGCGAGCGCTGCGCTGTATGAAAGCAACATGAATCTATAATGGAGAAAGTCTGCCTGGGTGCGGGATTCCTCCTGGAGCGTTCAGCACAACGGGAGCAACTCTGCAGATAGCGTGTTGATTTATTATGCCAAGGTTGGGGACGTGTCCTCCTCGAGGTGCATGTTTGGAGAGGGGCTGCAGCGTTCAAGGCAGATGTGAGGGTAGTGTTGTATGTGGAGACAGCCAGTGAGGGACAGGAGAGGGAAGGGATGGATAGCAGTTGTGAATCAATGTCAGCTGACAGCTGCTGGAGGTCAATAGAGTTAAGGTTCCTCCTGAGCTGAGGGGGGTTAGGCTGAGATTGTTAGGTGAGGGGGTAATTGAGAGCAAACGATAAGAGGTGGTGATCAGAGAGAGGAAATGGAGTGTTGCAGATATTAGATACTGTACATGAATAAGAGAAAATAAGGTCGAGGGTATTGCCAGCTACATGAGTGGGAGAATTAGCCCACTGCAGAAGTCCAAGGGAGGAAGTGATTGAAAGAAGTTTAGAGGCTGCTGGGGTTAAAGGTGGGTTAACGGGAATATTGAAGTCTCCAAGAATTAGGGATGGGATGTTGGAAGAGAGGAAGTAGGGTAGCCAGGCAGCAAAGTGGTCAAGGAAGAGGAGAGGGGAACCAGGGGGACGATAGATTAAGGCAATGTTAGCAGAGAAGGGTTTGAAAAGGCGAATTGAATGAATTTCAAATGATGGGAAAGAGAGGGAAGGGAGGGTGGACAGGGTTTTAAAGGAGCAGTGGGGTGAGAGAAGAAAACCTACACCGCCACCTTTAATCTCTGTTTGTCTTGGATTGTGGGTAAAGTGAAGACGGCCAAAAGACAGTGAGGCAGGTGTAGCAGTATCAGAGGGAGAGGGCCATGTTTCTGTTAGTGCAAGTAGGTTTAGGGAGTGTGAGATAAATAGGTCATGGATGGAAGTAGATTTAAAAGTGCTACACACAGAGCGTGCATTCCAGAGGGCAGCTTTAAAAGAGGAATTATAGTGAGAATTACATGGAATGGGTATTAGGTTGTTGTGGTTTCTGGTGTTTGTACCAGGTGGCTGAGTAGTGGTGCTTGAAGAGATCAATTATTTTTATCATCATTTATATAGCACTAAACATATTCTGCATTGCTTATTAATAATTTCACATTTAAAGGATTACTCCAAGCCCCATGACCTGTTCAGTGATTTGAAGTGGTTGTGGTGCCTGGAGAGTTCCAGGATGGCTCATGTCAATTCTGTGCAACTTGTCATGCACACAATTGCAATCATTGGTTGAGAGCAATCAGCTGACATTCTCAGTCAATGAATGGTGACAGGATTGGCTTAAGGCTTCTGCAGAAACAGTTGACCGGCGCTGAATGGAAACCAGGATCTAAAGTAACAGTATTACTGGGGAACCAGGCCAAGGTACTCCAGTCATCATAACTAATACAGCAGGCTCTTCCATATTCTCTCCTCTATACTCCATTCTGTATAAGAAAGATGGGGAGCAGATCAGATCCGTGGGTGTTAACAATTCACTTGATTCTGGGTCTTTTATGCTTAGCAAAACCTATCAAATTTCTGGTTTTATTTTCTCAGTTTTAAGAAAAGTGACAGTTCATTGTTCATACATACCAGTAACCGCTAATGCCGCATTAACTGCACTGAATAAAACCGCGGAGGAAAGAAAACAGAACATATTTACCAATGCTGCATTTCAACATTTTGAGAGGCTTTACTGCCCCATTATACCTGATCAATGGACAAATTTATTACAAATGCATGTGCACGTGGGATGTTCTCCATCAGCGCCAGACGTACAGCACTGCATGAGTTAAAGCAGGCTTCCCCAAACTCCGGCCCTCCAGATGTTGCTGAACTACAACTCCCATGACTATGAATGACATAGATAGGCTGAGTTGTACAGTAACATCTGGAGGGCTGGAGTTTGGGAAAGCTTGAATTAAAGGAACACTCCATTCACTATAATTATTGTGCAAGGAGTGCCCTGGCACCTCCTTATTGTAAGTAGTCAAACTTGTTTAGAGAAGATTGACTTCTTACCTGGGGCCATCCCCGGTGCTGCTCCCCACTTCCACTACTTCCTAAGGAGAGCCAGAAGCTCACTGGCTGATAGTCTCTGTTGATCACTCTCCACCACTGAGGTAAGCCCCGCACTGCTGGGCCTAGCTCAAATAGAGAGATTCTAGCTCTTCATTGCAAGTAGTGGTGCCTGCCAGATCTCACATAAAAAGTAAAACCACAACTATTTGACTGCTTACACTGTAGGGGAGGTTAGGCCACGCTGTATTAGTTATGTCGTAGCTTGGAGTCTTCCTTTAATTAATTTGTAAGCTTTGACCAGCAAAGCATTTCAGTTAAAGGACCACTCTAGGCACCCAGACCACTTCAGCTTAATGAAGTGGTCTGGGTGCCAGGTCCAGCTAGGGTTAACCCATTTTTTCATAAACATAGCAGTTTCAGAGAAACTGCTATGTTTATGAATGGGTTAAGCCTTCCCCTATTTCCTCTAGCGGCTGTCTCGTTGACAGCCACTAGAGGCGCTTGCGTGCTTCTCACTGTGATTTCCACAGTGAGAGCACGTCAGCGTCCATAGGAAAGCATTACGAATGCTTTCCTATGTGACCGGCTGAATGCGCAGCTCTTGCCGCGCGTGCGCATTCAGCCGACGGGGAGGAGAGAAGGAGGATCGGAGGAGGAGAGCTCTCCGCCCAGCGCTGGAAAAAGGTAAGTTTAACCCCTTTTCCCCTTTCCAGAGCCGGGCGGGAGTATGTTTTCCTGGCACTATAGTGGTCCTTTAAAATAAAACAGTTTAAAAATTGTAAAAAGAAACAAATACAAACCCCCCCCAAAAAACGACTAGTACAATACAGATTAGGGATCGACAGATGATCAGTCTGGCCGATATCGGCCAATATTCCCATTATGTTAAATATTGTTAACAGCCTATAATGATATCGATACTGGATACTTGGCGTAGGTACAAAGCACGCCATCTTCAGCTGCTCTCTCCAGCCTCCGAATAACCATGGCAACGCTCCGCGCAGCTGTGTTGGAGAGAGGACCTTCCAGAAACAGAAGATAGCGTGTGCTGGGTCCCGGCCACTCCCTCCACAACATATAACTCCCTGGCAGCCTGCACAAAACCACCAGGGAATGTAATGATTCCCTGGCCACAGGTAAAAAAAAAAAAATTTAAAAAAAAAATGGCAGAAGCGGGTAATAATATCGGTACCAGTTATCGTTTATCAACCCAAGAGGCCACCGATAATCGGTACTGGCCCTTAAAAATTTATACCGTGGATCCCTAATGTAGGTATTTGACTGTGTTAAAAATCAAGGAAGTAACAGCTTGAAAAATTGACAAACGAAGCTCAGGTTCACCAGAATAAGTGTCTAAAACAGGGGTCCTCAAACTCCGGCCCCCCAGATGTTGCTGAACTAAAACTCCCATGATTCTCTGGCTATCTATGTAATTCAAAGAATCATGGGAGTTGTAGTTCAGCAACATCTGGGGGGCCGTAGTTTGAGGACCCCTGGTCTAAAAGGTATCCAAGCAGTTTATCTCAGGAGAACTAGTTCACATTCTGTGGCACAGTTGGCTATTGCATTAAATTAGGGTTTTGTTTTCTACCCCCTCCATATAAATCAGTAACAGTAATGTCAGTGTGTTAAAGCTGATCTTCTTGGACTGGAGACCTTCCTCTGCCCATATCACCCAGTGACAGCGAGCACCTACACACCCTGACAGGTAAGTACACATATCCCACGTGACTGTGTGTGTAAGAACCACTCACCTGTCCCAGCTGCCCTGCTCTAACAACACAGACTGCCGCGATCTACGGCACGTCGCAAACACCAGAGCTATAAACACCAGAGACGGCCAACTCAATGTTACCGCACTCTTATAACCGCCTTCATATAACTCGAAAGAATTTCTATTACATCAAGCAATGGAAACATATTTTGTTTAACAATACTCGTTACAAGCAAAAGTTCGCATAAAAATAAAAAGGTATGAGATAGTTATCTCTAGTGTTTGACGCTCGAAGGGGAGACGTTTAACGGAATGGTCATTCCATGCGTCGCATACTGCCGCCATATTGGATGAGGACAGACCAGGCTGCTGCATAGCCAGTGCCCACTTTAAAGATGTCTAGGTTTCTAAAGGAATAGTTAACGCAAGCTGGGCATTTTAAGACAGAAGTCTTATTTTTACTATTTAAGAAGCATAAAATAAAGCAGTATTATTTCATTGTAATTACTGCTGACAGTGATTGTCGGGGCCTCTAATGGATGGTTTTTGCCCAAAACAAAAATGTCTGCCAAGTGGAGTTTTTGGGGGCGGGGCTTGGTTTTAATGTTGAGTTGGCTGAGACTGAGTTTACAGGAATAGCTGCTTCTTGGACCTCACATTATAGGTGTATGACAGACTGGTAAGAAACACTGTAGTGAGAAGTGATTTTGTAGAGGTGCTAGATCACAGTTATATATTATTTATCATTATTGGAATGGTGAGCTTCTCTTCCCCTAATATTTAATAATATAATATAATAGGATAGTAGTGGTTATCACTGAAAGGTATAACTACTACTTCACACCTGCTTGCTAAACACATTGATAATATAGGTAGCTAAAGGGACACTATAGGCACCCAGATCACTTCAGCTCATTGAAGTGGTCTGGGTGCTGTGTCCGCCTTGCCCTTAGTGCTGCAATGTTAAATTGCATCTCTAAGTCTGCCTCCAGTGGCTGTCTACCAGACAGCCAGTAGAGGGCTTCCTGAATTGAAACGGACCTTTGGTGTGGTATCTGATGTTGGACGTCCTCACGCTCTGCATCAGCCAGCGTCAGATTTTTCCCTATAGGAAAGTATTGATTCAATGCTTTCCTATTGGGAGGTCTAGCGTGCACAGTATTTGCCGCACATGCGTATTAGACCCTGCTTGTTGCGGGATGGAGGAGGGTGCTGGGATCAGGTAAGTAAAAGAAGGGTTTTTAGTTCATTTACTGGGTGGGGTAGGGGTGCGAGGGGGGAGTGATAGTACCAGAAATACAGCTTTGTATTCCAGGCACAGCAGTATCACTTAAAGGACCACTATAGTGCCAGGAAAACATACTCGTTTTCCTGGCACTATAGTGCCCTGAGGGTGCCCCCACCCTCAGGGTCCCCCTCCCGCCCGGCTCTGGAAAGGGGAAAGGGGTTAAACTTACCTTTTCCAGCGCTGGGCGGAGAGCTCTCCTCCTCCGATCCTCCCCGTCGGCTGAATGCGCACGCGCGGCAAGAGCTGCGCGCGCATTCAGCCGGTCGCATAGGAAAGCATTTACAATGCTTTCCTATGGACGCTTGCGTGCTCTCACTGTGAAAATCACAGTGAGAAGCACGCAAGCGCCTCTAGTGGCTGTCAATGAGACAGCCACTAGAGGATTAGGGGGAAGGCTTAACCCATTAATAAACATAGCAGTTTCTCTGAAACTGCTATGTTTATGAAAAAATGGGTTAACCCTAGCTGGACCTGGCACCCAGACCACTTCATTAAGCTGAAGTGGTCTGGGTGCCTAGAGTGGTCCTTTAAGTTACTTTTCAATTTGTATTGAGTATTTGATATAATCTTTGGGAAATGATCATAAAGACTGCTGGAATTTCACTGAAATTTCAATGCTGTCAAACGATATAAGACAAAGTAGGGAGTACTTTGTTTTCTGTATTTTTCATGCTCTCGACAAAAAGGCAGAGCTAGTGCTGTCAAGCCCTCAGCTGTCAATAGTGACAGTAAAGGGGAACATGGCTTTGTCTGTGGAGGATCTCCCATAGAGAGTTTTGTGCATATGAAAAGTACAGTACTGATGTCGACTCCTGGCAGATAGTAGGGCCATGTGCTGAAAGAGGTCAGCAGAAACACTATGTTGGCGACCGTGAGAGACAGGACAGGTAATTACCTGCACAACGCCACCGCTTCATTACATGTGACAAAGCTATCAAAGTATAATAATTAAAGGACAACCAAAACCACCAAGACCATGTCATATCAATCAATCAGTCTGGTTGCAGTGGCCCTGTAATTTTAACCATGCAGTGTAAAATATTCAAACAATAAAAAAGAATGTAGTGCTAATATAATGAATAAATGATCACCCTTTAGTTTAATTTAGGAAGGAGTTCCCACTTTTATCATCAATTGTGTGGATATCTATAAAAGACAATCGAATATAGTGTAGATTATATAGGATTAAACGGTATAAAAATCTAAGGTGTATGCACACTCACAAACAGAGAACTGTGGACCCAGCTCTGGTATAAATCGCATCTGGGTCCGTATAGACGACCCACCCCTAATCCAGATGTGTATCTTGTCCTGGAGAGAAACAAATGGGTGAACGGTACACATGCACCGGTGTCCTAATTGCCAATTTCAACGGTATTTAAATCAGAGACAGTGAACCTGTAACCATTCTACTTTCTAATCCGGTTGAAGAAGCCACGTTGCAGTGGCGAAACGCATCCCGTTTTTTATTGGACATTGAGCCATTTTTATTTTATATTGTATTAATACATTTTATTTTATTTGAGATACTTCATCCTCGTTCCCTATCTCATCAATTTCAACACGGGAGTGCAGTCCCTAAACTGCACAACGCCTACACATATAGTCATTTGAGACTCTCTGTTTGTAAGTACCCACTTGGGAATTTTGTCCTTTATTCTATAATTTTAGACCATACTGCGCAATCGTTTGCCCATTTGTTTCTCTCCAGGACAAGATACACGTCTGGAGTAGGGGTGGGTCGCCTATACGGATCCAGAATCGATTTATACCAGAGCTGGGTCCACAGCTCTCTGTTTGTGAGTGTGCATACACCTTAGATTTTTATACCGTTTAATCCTATATAATCAACACTATATTCCATTGTCTTTTATAGATATCCACACAATTGATGATAAAAGTGGGAACTCCTTCCTAAATTAAACTAAAAGGTGATCATTCATTCATTATATAAGCGCTACATTCTTTTTTTATTGTTTGTAAGTTCTGTTGGTTATATTGTAAGGAGTCACATGAATGTTCAGCTGCTCACTGTATATAAAGATCCAACATATGTCTGTACACTGAATATTTACTCATAAGCGCTAGTCCTTGCCCACGTCTCACACTTCCAGTGTAAAATATCGCCAGCTTTGTATAAAATGCAATGCTTACATTGCTAGGTTGCACAAACCTCTAGTGATTGTCTTCTGACAGTCACTAGAGGCGCTTCATCTACAATGAGTGGGTCATCAAATACAACTCATAGCGAAGCATTTGTTTCAATGCTTCTCAACGAGAAGCATTTTGATCACACGCAAAGTGCATTATTAACGCCTTAGTGTATTTTTTTTAGGAATAGAATGTAGTATGTATAATCACATATAAAATGTGCACGTGGTTTGTTTGCATGTTGACCTTGGAGTTATATGAAATCTTGGCTTACAAAAGCTGCAGATCTAGTATCTGTGGCGACTGGAATCCCTCTCCTCCTTCCCTGTGGATACCCAAACACAGACTTCTCAAGGCAGGTGTTCTAGCAATTGTTAGCCTCTTAGATTTAGCTCCACAGCCCTAAACTTTGAGGAAGTATCCAGCTGCATGTAGAGAGTTAATGATCTTCTAAAATGAAACCAATTTATTAATTATGACTGTTTCTTGTATGATTTTCAGCCATGATTAGCTGATTTCTCCCTTGGAGCTATTGAATACCACACGCTACCAGGTTGTTCTTTCTCAACTTGCCAGAGTGAAGGCAAAAGTCCTAAACCTCCTGCAATAATAGATTTGGCAACCTAGGATACTAAACAAACAATTACCAATTTTTATTACTATGCATTATTGCATCTTTGGTGTCAAAAGGGTCCTTTATTTTTTGTACCATAACTATTATAGGGTTTTTTTCTGAGAGGTTTTTTTTTTTATTTCATAGCTAAAATTGGATAATAGTGTAAGTGTTCTAGTGCACTGACAGTTCATCGTTGCCATCCCATGCTCCCCCCGACCCTTTATTTTGGAAGCGGTTTGATAAAAATGTAGCTGCTATTCAAAAACATTTGAAGAATGGTCAGTGAGCTAAATGCCTAACTGAATTTAATTTGTTTACCTAACAACAAAAGAACCACTGCACTAGTATTACACAATTCATTTTGTCTGTAGAACGACCTTAAATTGTGTGGTGGTCTATTGTTATTTAACCACATTGTGTGCTCATCTGGGCAAATAAGGAAGTACTTGGAAGAGTCTTATAAAAGTGATGTGGACGGTGACCATCAGTCATTGTTGTTGCGTGGTCCACTATCATTTCAGAGTTTACTCAGACTGTGTTTTGTAAAACAATAGGTACTCCGTTACCAGCTGATGTCCTTCATTACAGTTTGCCACACACAGTGCATGTATTTTCATAATTGCACAAATGGCTCTTTTATTTACACTGGGTGATCACTGAGGTTCTTATTCAGAAATCTTTTGTCATTTAATGAGATCATGAAAACAAGAGCTCGCTGGTCCATAGGAGCCAACGATAAACCGCATAGCAGGAGAAAACCATACCTTCTCAATAATGTCACATGGAGGAGGCGGGGAGGAGAAGGGTAGAGAGTTCAGTAGTGCCCTGGGAGGTGTGACAGGGACACTACAGCGTTAGGAATACAGGTATACATTCCTAATGCTACTTTGTTCCTTTAATAAATGTAGATGCTGCTGAGAGGCTGAGCAACTAATCATGTTAAGATTATGGGTTATATTTTTAACAAAACTCCACCTTTTTTGTGTGTCGATCAGATTGATTGAAAATGCCTGGTGGACCCAGTAAAATCGTAAAAACTATGAAAACACTAGGAGTTCTTACAATGGGACAGTGCCAGGGGACTCCTGGCACCATAACCACTAAGTGTACTCTAATGATTATAGTGCTTAGACATTCATTTAAAAACTCTCTACTCATTCAATTAGCAGCAAGACAAGTCAAGTCACAGATTAAAAGGATAATTATCACCTTATGTATTCTCTGTTCTTTCCTAAGACCCAACTTGGGAGCTAAACGTGGTGGGTTTCTCTTGGTCAAATATGGGGGGTCCTCCCAGGAGTCCTGGGTTGACATAAAAGTCAAACACGCATTAAAGGATTCCTCCCATAGGAGCTTGATAACGGTGAGTATTCTCTGAATTTAGCCTCTGAGATATATTCCTTATTAGATAAACTGATCCCACTTACAACATGTTTTTAATACGGTTGGTCTTTGATCTAATTAGATAGGGTATGTCTGATTCTATTTATTATGTACCTGGATTCTAATATGTTAAATTATTGTAGAGATTGCTGAATATGGAAGTATTACATCCTACCTTGATTAACATCGGAGGGCGGATATACAGGAAGAACACAATTCGAGAGACTACTTTTCAAAATGAGGAAGAAGAGGATGATTTCTATAGAGGTAACACACATTTAATAGAGAAGAGATGTATTTTGAGCAATGGCATTGCTAAGGTAAAAAAAAAAAAAAACACCTGGGGCTTGAGCGCCAAAATAATTTGCTGACCACTCTGCTCTGCGTCTGAACTTCCTTTATTTGTCCTAAGAAGGAAGCCTCGGACTTGTTGCCACTGATAGGCTGAAACCAGCAGCTGACATTCTCGGCCTATCAGTAGCTCCCCTTTCACATTACCAAGTGAGCGAAATGCGTTGCTAGTGGATATTTTTACATATGTTACGTGCCAAAGTCCATGGTTGTGCATATAAAAATGAGTTTTTATCACTGTTTCTATGTCTGTTGTCCATATTAATGAATGTGCATGTAGTGATTCTGCTTTTCTGTATGTAAAATACACTGCTCAGCCACCTATTCTCACCCCCATAAATACTATCTGTTTTACTCTATAGAACACCCCCCTCCCTGTAGTCTTCAGAGACCTCTTTCCCTATTCTGAAGCCTTGGATCTGGCAGATGATTCAGAAAAGGAAAATTTAATGTCATGGCTTGGGCTGGTGACACAGCTTAGCATTATACCAAATTTAGCCCATTATTAATTCAATTCTTTTACGTGATTGAAAAATGATTCAGCTTTAGCCACCTGCAATTTGTTACAGATTTATTTTTGTACACTGCTTTTACATAATCAAGCTTGCAAACTAACATGCAATTTTCCTTCAACATCATTTGTAATATTTGATGTTCAGCTGCATGTGTTATTGTCATATTTCAAGATAAGGTAGTGAATTATGGAGCAGAACATTCATTTCATACATTCATTTCTCTGAGAGATTGTTGTAAATGTAAGACACTTGAAGGCCGTAAGAAAGCAGTGTACAAATTGCATTCTACTTGGATATATTAGGTAGATGAAACATTAATATTTAATTAGAAACCTGTTTACAAAATAAAAACCTCCTGACCAGTGTATGAATTATTTATAGAATTCGAGGCATCTAGATTTGCGACTTATTCTACTGAGCATGTTTTTTCTTCATAATATTATTCACTAAACCCAGAGCTGTCTAGAACTGATGAGGGAATATTGAAATGTAAGTTAAAATAGCTGGTCTGGAAAACTGGAGAGAAATTACACATTCATTTAGTTTTTTTTCCATATTTTCAGGAAACTTTGGCTAACAATGAAACATTGCTAAAATCAGACACATGGCTTTCAGAAGCCAGTTCGGGGCTCGATACTTTGTCAGGCCCACCCTTGCAGCGTTCTTGATTTAGATACCTATGTGCCTTAAGTTAAAAATACAGTGTAGCATCTGAAATGTGTCAATTCCTGTCAGTGTTAATTTTGTCGACTATCCATTTTAGTCAACTAAAAATTTTTGAGATTTAGTTGACTTAAACTAAAACAAATCAGATGACTAAAATAAATTTTAGTCAAAAGACAATGACTAAAACTAAACTGAAGTTTGCTGCCAAAATTAACACTGATTGCTCACATTACTAAAGTCAGTTAAGCCTCAATTTAAAAAGCTTTCCATGTGATTCATTACTGTTAGAAAAACTTTCAGAATGATTTATCTACAGAAGTCACCATTAACCCGTTAACGCTGTTACGTGGTGCTATGCCGTCCCGGCGTTAATGGGCTTAAACGCCTTTATGGCGGCATAGCACGCCGCGGTGTTTAAACCCACCCACGTTTCCCCGATCCCTCCCAAACTGCAGATCACGGTAGGGGGGACCGGCCTGGCAACCCAGGCAGGTCCCCTGTGGCCAATCCGTAGTGATCTGCAGTTTGTGATCGCAGTGACAGCCAGTCACGGCGATCACTGTTACAATGTGTCAGCCAATGATTTTAAATCACTGGCTGACACATTGCCCCTCTCCTCACCTCACTTCGATCTGAGAGAGAGAGGCAGAGATATCGTTGCTGGAGAGCCCTGTAGGAGAAAGAATTGTTAAAAATAAAGAAAAAGTTACAAAAAAAGCAATTTTTTAACCCTTCCAGTGCTGGTCACAGCATTTAACACTGTGATCAGCCTGTTTAGGGATTTTAGTACATTTGTAATATTATAATTTTTTTAAATTTTTTTTTTTTTTTTAGGGTAAAAATAAATAAATATTTTTTTATTTATTTATTTTAAATGTTTTTTTTTTTTTTACCCTTTGTCAGCCACAGCAACCCAAATCTCCCTTAACCCTTTCCTCGCTGCCGTGATCACTGTACTGTACAGTATCGCTACTGTACAGTATTGTACCAGTGATCACTGTGATCAGAGGGCTCTCTGATCAGGCTGACTTTTTGGGGGTTTTTTTTTTAAAAAAAAAACAAAAAATAAAATAAAAATTAACCCTTTCAATACTGGTCGCAGCAGCCTAAACTGCGATCAGTACATTTATTTAAATTTTTGTGGGTTTTTGAGGGTGGGTAGTAGGGTGTTAGGCAGGTAGAAATTTAGTAATTTCCCCCTTAGATTTTTTTGATTAATTTTGAGTAGTCCCCCCTAAAATGGCACGTTGCTACTCAGCCGAGGAGGCGTACGCCATTCTGGCAGGCAGTGACAGTGACACTCTGCAAGACAGTGACACTATCACTGCCTCTGACATTGAGGCTATGACTGATTCCTCTAGTGATGGTGCCCCACCACCACCAACAAGAGGACGCTCAGCAAGCCCAATGCCAGATGGAGACTGGGTGCCCCCAAACCTGACGGCCCCAGATATTCCCCCATTCACGGCGACCTTTGGCATCACTGTTATGGTGGATGTTTGGGAGCCCCTAAAATATTTTGATTTGTTCATGTCAGAGGAAGTATTTCAGTTATTGGTTGAGCAAACCAATTTATTTGCCAACCAATATCTGACTGTGAATCCGGGGTCACATTACAATAGGCGTAATATGTGGCACCCCACGGATCTCGCAGAAATGCGCAAATTTTGGGCCCTAACTCTAGTTATGGGCATTGTCAAAAAGCAGAGTATTAGGTCCTACTGGTACAAGCACCCCATCCTGGCTACCCCTCTTTTCCCTGGGGTTATGAAGAGGGATCGCTATGAGCAGCTGCTGCGTTTCCTCCACTTTAACGACAACACACTGTGCCCCCCAAGAAACGACCCATTGTTTGACAGGCTGTACAAAATTCGGCCCCTAATTGAACTCCTGTCAGACAAATTCTCCCAAAATTATGTCCCTGAAGAAAATATTTGTATAGATGAGTCCTTAATGAAGTTTAAGGGTAGATTACTTTTTAAGCAGTATATCCCTTCTAAACGGTCCCAATACGGTGTAAAATTTTATAAATTGTGTGAATCCAAATCTGGATATACATGGGCGTTTCGTATTTATCAGGGGAAGGATAGCCATCTTGACCCACCAGGATGCCCTGATTCTGTGGGTACATGTGGCAAGATAGTATGGGACCTAATCCTTCCCTTGTTAAATAAGGGATACAGGCTATGGGTTGACAACTATTACACAAGCATAGAGTTATTTAAAACTCTATTTTGCTTTGAGATCGTAGCCTGTGGCACAGTGCGTAAAAATCGTAGAGGTTTCCCCCAAACCCTGGCAAGAGGTAGACTCAGTAGAGGCTCCCTTTCAGCACTCCGCCAGTATGAGTTGCTTGCCCTTCGCTTCACCGATAGGAAAGATGTGTACATGTTGTCTACAATGCACGACAAAACTTCAGTGCCAGTGTCTGTGAGAGGTGGAACTGAGCAGCTGGACAAGCCGAAGTGCATTGTAGACTACAGCAAGTTTATGGGGGGAGTAGACTTGGCTGATCAGTGCATACAGCCCTATCTGGTGAACCGGAAGAGTAGGACCTGGTACAAGAAAATTGCAATTTACATAACCCAGATTGCAATTTTCAATGCCTATGTGCTTTATAAAAAGGAAGCCATAGGTTGACCATGCCCATTTCTAGAGTTTATGGTCCAAATTTTGTCTCTAATTATATTTGCCCAGACCCCAAATCCTAACCCTCCTTTGGAATCTGAAGATGTCCAACGACTTTTCAGCAAACATTTTCCTTCCCGAATCCCCCCCACACCCTGTAAAAGGTCACCCAACGAAAATGCTGTGTTTGCTGGAAAAGAGGAGTCCGAAAGGACTCCAGTTATTATTGCCCCTCCTGTGCATCCCTACCCGCCCTCTGCATAACAGACTGTTTCAAAGTCTACCATACAGAGCTGAACTACTAAATCACTCTGTATGGTACTTTTGGCAGTTTGTTTGCCTGATTTCCCTGGATTCCCTGACCTCGGCTTGTCCTGACTACGCTTCGTTAGCTGCCTGTACCGACCCATTGGCTTGTTTTACCGACTACTCTGACTTCTGGATCCCTCTGACCTTGGCCTGTCCCTGTTTATGCTAGCCATTCTAAAGTGGCTACACCAAACAACTCAAAATACTATATTTGTAGTACTTGAAATGTGTCTTCACAAAAAAAGCAAAAAACTAATCACAGGTTAATGCTACAGTATCTGAGTCAAAGATCTATCTGCCTCTCTCTGCCTTCAAATCAAAGTCTACTTGGGGGTACTGTACTATTCCTGTGATATACTAGAAACCTGGAAACATTGTACATGTAGGTATCGTTATATTCAGATGACAGTGTTAAATCAAAATACTGAGGTTTTTAGTGCACTAACTAATACCAGGATTATGACATTTCTAGTGAAAATGCAATTTATGTGATTTTTAAAAAGACAAAAATAAAAGTAGAAATTGCTATATGGGCCCATCATTTTTGTTAAAATGGCTAGACCAAACATCTCAAGGTCTGCCATTTGTTGTACTCTGTGTTGTCTACTTTTGAAAATGGTTATTACCCAGGCTGCCATGCTCTCTAAATAGCCACACAGGCCCAGCAAATCACTCAAATTTCCAACTTTGAAATGGACATCTAATATATTTGTCCCTGTGACTTCCCCCAAAAAACAGAAAATCCAGTAGTGTTATATTCAGGAGACAATGTAAAAAAAAAAAATAAAAAATAAAAATAGTGAGGCTTTGTTGCAATAACTTATACCAGGAATAGGAAATGTCCTGGGAAAAGTGAGTTCATGTGTGGAAAAAAGCACAAATAAAACTATTACCGCTATGTGGGCCCTTCATTTCTGATAAAGTGGTTAGATCAAACATTTTA